TAAGTGCATCGCCCCCGCCGACACGGTCTGCGAGGAACGATCCCCCTCGGGCGCCTACGGCTGCGTCGTCTCGAAGGGCACGTCCGCCCCGACGCCGGCTGCCTCGACCCCGTTGCCGACGCCCGCTGCCTCGACGCCCGCGGCCTCGACGCTCAAGCCCACGCCGGCCCCGACCAAGTCGCTTCGCTTCTAAGCGCACCCCATCCCTCAAGGATACCCTTTCCACTTGAAGTCGTTGTCGTGATGCTGCTTTAGCGCTACTTGTCGAACTCTTTAGTCTAACTTTCCTCAAGGGAATATATTCTGAATGATGTTCTTACCCCCTACACCCAATCATTCTTCAGTCACGCCGCTTTGGCCGATTGGACATTGTTGGCGAGCACAGTGGCGCTCTCAAGCCGCACCAATTTGGCGACTGCTTCTTCGGGTGAAGGAGCAACAATCTCCTCGCGGGCTATCCTGTCCTCTCCTTTTCTGCGGCGTTGACCAATGAAAACGCAGTTGAGACTTCATTTCGCCTTATCACAGTTTAGATCACATATGTTTTAACGTTAGTAGATACAATCCGTGATACGCAGCAAGCAGTGGACAGCTCATTGTCGCCTATCGGTTTGAGCAAGGGCACAAGTACTCGGGTATATATGCCCTTGCCAGCAGGTCCCTACTGGAATCGGAAGACTGATGAGCTACCTGGACGTATTATAGGGAGGACTGCACCAAGGACGGCTGCACCCACATCAAGCGACTTGCGGTTTTTCCAATCTTGCTGTGAAGCTTTTCAACGTGTCGTAATGCATGTCCTGTATTATTATATTGCACTTTGGTGGCAAACAAAACAAAACGAAGCGTATGTGGCTCGACCTTTGAGTGTAAATCCTTCGGGTGAAATCCTTCGGCGTTGGAGGGTTAAGTGGACGGTCGTGGGAGCTCGGGTAATCATTGTTCTTGAGCCAAAACCTTGGCCTTCGTGTGTTCAGCCCCCTCACGCAGAACCCCTTCGAATGCCCGCAAGGCGCTTTAAATACACGCATACAAATGTCGTCGTAAATAAAGCCATTGCGGTTGGCCCTGGAAAAGTGGCTGTGTCGTCGTGTCGCTCCCAGTTCACCTACTTCCTCTGGCAATGAATACCCCTGTCGTCAGTGCATTAAAGATCCAACTTTCGACTGCATTTTGGCCAATCAAACAGCTTGAAGACGAGTGCGACCGAGCACGCATTCGGCAATTCTCTGCGGAACGGCAAAGTCGATATGGCCGTCGATCACGCGACTCGCGTCGTGACGCTCTCCGTCCTAACGAACGTCGCGATCGTCATGAGCATGGCGATCGTCGTCTTCTCATCCCACTCGCTCGCACTCATCTCCGCGCTCATGGAGAACATGGTCGACCTCTTCGTCCAGGGCCTCTTGTGGTACGCCAACTACCAAGCCTCGAATGCGCCCGACATGGCCAAGTTCCCCGCCGGCACGTCGCGCTTTGAGCCTATCCTCGTCGTCTTGTCGGCGACCATCATGAGTGTGATCTCGGTCATTGTCATTTACGAGTCGAGTATGCGCCTCCATGATGGCTTCGCGAGTGGCGAGCCGGACGTGGCCGTCATGTCGACTGCCGCGATCGCCATTTGCTCGTGCGCCATCGCCATCAAGGTTGGCCTTGTCATCTACGCTGGCTTTGCGCTGAGGCTAACGCAGTCGAGCTCGGTCAAGGCGATTCAACAAGACAACATCAACGACACGGTCTCGAACGCCTTTGCCATCGTAGTGTATGTGATTGCGGCGTCGGACCCGTCGCTGTGGTACATTGATCCCGCGGGCGCGATTCTCATCTTCCTCGCCATCCTCGTCATCTGGGTGCGCACGGCCAAGGAGCAAGTGCTACAACTCGTCGGCGTTTCAGCGTCGCCCGATTTTATCGACGTCGTCAAGGAGCTCTGTGAGAACCACCACGCGAGCTTCGCGCTGGACATCATCCGCGCCTACCACTTTGGCAACAAATACCTCGTCGAGCTCGAGGTCGTAGCGCCCGCTACGATGACCGTCAAGCAAGCACACGACATCTCGCTCCAGCTGCAATTCAAAATTGAGCAGCTCGAAGACGTCGAGCGCGCGTTCGTCCACGTCGACTACCAAACGCGCGCGTACGACGAGCACGTCGTGTCGCGACTTGCCAACGCCGTCGACCTCTTTGGCGGCGACGGCCATGAGCTCTCAACGCTGACGCCCCGCCGCTTGGCGACGCCCAAAGCCACCGAGTACGAGCTCGTTCATGCGTACTAGGCTCGTCACTAATCTCATTTTTGTGGTGGCCCCGCAAACGGCATTTCACAAAGGCTCTGTTCTTTGAGGAGTTAAATGCAGGCCCAGAGAAAGACAGTGAGCAGCGAGGCGCTGTAGAGAACAAAGCCTGTTGGGCTCGACGCCTCGTCGTTGGAGCTGCGGCCGGGTTGAAGTTGTGAGTGGATCGTCGTGTGAGATGTAGGCGGCGGGCTTGGAGCCAAGAACGTTTGCGCCAGAAGCGTAGGGTTGCGAGGAAAGATGCGTGGGTACCCGCCCCGTGCACTGGTCATTTGGCAACGGTACCACCAGTGACGCAGCAGACAGCAGACAGCATCTCTTGTAGGGTGACGGGCCAAAACAGATCTGGATCGGGAACACTGGACCTGCCTGATCGTCACGAGGCCCATCACTCTTACTGTGCGGCGTCATCGTGCCATATCGGTGGCAGCTATCGCTGGCTAGAGCTCTGTACGATGGCACTGCCGAGTCGGTCGTCGCAAGGACATCTCTGACCTATCGGCCATGAGCCACGTAGCTACCTTCGCCGTTGCATGTCCAAGGCCACGCGCCGTGACATCATTACAAGCGGCCGCTGGTGCCCAGACGCGTGCAACGCTGAAGCGCAGTGCCGGAACTACCTGCACCATCGCATGGATGGGCCCGTCGGCCGAGGCTGTGGCATCTGCAGACTGCATGAAGGCCTTCCAGCGTCGACAGCGTGGCTTCGTGGCATCGTCGCGCAAACTGCCAGAATGCATACTGTTTTAAACAGAGTTGTCGGCACCAGGGTGTGTTTTGACCATTGTATGCAACCTGAAAGAAACACTTTGGCCTAAAGTCCGTGAAACTCGATATCCAGACAGCTTATTCAGCGGATCCATCGCGAGATGGAGGAATCCATCGACCGCACCGACGACATGTTCGACCACGTGCTCGCGGGGTCTCTCTGCTTCCTCGGCATGGCCATCTGCATGTACATGAAGTTCATCCGGCGGCAGCGGCCAGGCTTCGAGCTCGTGCGCCCGGCCAAGGAGATGCACAGCCCACCAGCCCACGAGTACAGCGCCTCGATCGCGATGGACGTCAAGCAGCCGCCCGTCGTCGTGCCGAAGAAGGCGACGGGCCCCGCGCACTACGTCTATCAGCACCCGATGCGCCGACGAACACATAGCTCGATGAGCGGCAATCCCGAGCCGTTAAAGCCCCAGGACACGCCCACGGTGCTCGCGATCGAGACGAGCATCCCAGAAGAAAAGTTCTACGCCAAGCCGAGCACTAGCTACCCGTTTAGCGGGAACCTTGAAGATGGCATCACGTATACAGATGAGCGCAATACGACCCGGCCGTTTGGACGGGTGGCGAAGCCCGAGCCACGAGTCTTGAGCCCGACGCGACCCCAGCAGCCGTACCGAACCGTCGACGAGTTTGTCAAAGGCACGCCGATCGTGGTCTCGCCCACAAAGAGTGAGATGGATCTCTTTGCCTCGGAGACCGACAGCCTCCTACACCTCGAGAGCCAATCAACGACGACGCGGCCGTCGGTACCGTTTGGTGCGCCGCTGCGGGAGCCAATGCCATTCCCGCCACCGATGGCGCCACCGCTGCACCGCCAAGCATCACCGCTTGACGAGCACGGGAAGCGGCCCTTTGGAATGCCCGAGCAGCAGCAGCCAGCGCAGATGCAGATGGAAGTCGCGCGCCAAGCGCACATCCCGCTCTTTTTGCACATGCCGCTGCATGTCGCGCCCAAACCGCCGCCGATCGAGAGGCCAGCGGAAGCGAGTGCGCTGCACCGCACGAGTCACGTAGAGAAGCGGCCGTCGCGCGGCGCGTCATTCAACTTTCGCATCGACTTTGGCGCGATCGCGCTGGGCGAGCTCATCGGCCAAGGCGCCTTTGGCACCGTGCACAAAGGCGTCTGGCGCGAGACGCTGATCGCTGTCAAGATCTTGCAGTGCCAGACGCTCACGCCCGACATTCTTGAAGAGTTCGAGACGGAGGTGCACATTATGAGCGTCCTCCGGTCCGTGTTCTCGTGTGCTCTGGCAACATTTGTTTCTCATACACAGTCCTGTAGACATCCCAATATCTGCCGACTTCTCGGGGCGTGTCTCGACCCACCGACGCGATGTCTTATCGTCGAGTACATTCCCATGGGGTCGCTGTGGTGTGTTCTGCGCCAGCCCGTCTCGATTGACTACGCCAAGCAGCTCCGGTACGCTCCCTAGCAGCGCATGCATCGTCAACACCTTTTGGCTAGGTTTGCAAGGGACACGGCCCTCGGCATGCATTATCTGCACACGTTTGACCCACCCATTCTCCATCGCGACCTCAAAAGCCCCAATTTGCTCGTCGACGATGACTTTGGCCTCAAGATATCCGACTTTGGTCTTGCACGCGTCAAGGCGCACCAGCAAACGATGACGGGCAACTGTGGCACAACGCAGTGGATGGCGCCCGAGGTCTTGCGACTCGACACCACTCGTATGGCTCACGACGACGAGTAGGTGCTCAATGCTGCCAAATACACGGAGAAGGCCGACGTTTCTCGTTCGGCATCGTCCTCTGGGAGACGGTGACGCACGCGTGTCCATACGACGGCCTGAGCCAGATCCAGGCCGCGCTCGGCGTGCTCAACCACAACTTGCGCCCAACGATCCCGCCCGAGTGCCCGCCGTTCCTGAAGAAGCTCATGACCATGTGCTGGGGACCGGACCCAGACAAGCGGCCGACGTTCCACCAAGTGCTCGACATGTTGCAGAGCGTCGAGTTAGAGTAATAGTCGTTATATAACCTAGCATCCAACGCCGTCCGTGTAAATGTTCCACACAAAGATGCCGCCTTCGTCGCCGACCGTCACGAGCTGGCGGTCGTCCGGGCTAAACGCCAGCGACCGAACGCTGCCCGAATGCCCGATCCCGTCGACCAAGAGCGCGCCTACGCGCACGACGACTGCGTCATCGTGGTGATTCGGAGTGACCCACCTGTGTCGAAGGACCAGAGCTTCACCACTTGGTCGGTACCACCGGTCGCGAACAGCGGCAGTGCGTGGGCCACTGCGATGCACGTCGCTTCGTCCACGTGCGCCTAGGTATAGTCGTCTCGTTGGCGGCGAGCGCAAGATGCACGCGTGGGACCTTGGTGATGACGTTGATCGGGGTCTCGATCCGGAGGTCCCAAAAGGAAATGCGCTTCTCCTGCCCCACCGTGAGCACGATGCTTTGGTTGCGCGAGAGAGCGATCGCGTTGAGACCTACGGATGTTGCAGCAAAATTCACTTGCGATGACGACGCGTACCGCCCATGCGCTGGATGTGGGACGAGATGCGTCGCTCGGAGCGCAGCTCCCAGCACAGGAACGCCTTGTCGCGGCTGCAAGAGAGAAGGTGCACGTCGTCGTCAAAGAGCGCGAGGCCCGACACCGTCATCGAGTGCTCCTTGAGGTGCGAGACCATGTCACGCTTGCGGAGGTCCCACACGCGAACGTCGCCCCCGGCGCCGCCACTTACAATGAAGCGCTAACACTTGGTGTGGCGAAGATACTTACACAGCGACGCACCTGGTTGTTGCTGAGCGCGAGCGCTGTGACACCGCCCGTGTGCGCGTTGTCGATGCTCCAGAGAAAGTCACCGTTGTCCGAGCCATGGCACCGAATGCAGCCATCGGACCACCCCGTGAGCAAGATGTCTAGCGCAACACGTCAATCGATAGTGCTGCAGAGGCGACGCACCGAGCGAGTAGGCGAGGCAATGAGGCATGCCGGCGTCGTGCACTGAGGCGGCAACGACCACCGAGTAGTCGGAGGCGTCCCAAATACGTACCGTGCAGTCGGACGCGAGCGTCGCGAACCGGTCCGACTCTGTCGCAAAGGCGACGGCGAGCACGCCTCGAAAGTGGTTTTCACACAAGAGCGCCGAGGTGAGCTGGCAGTTTCCCGGCGTAAACTTGACAAGGTACATGTTGCCGTGCTGCGTCCCCGCGAGAAGCTCGAGCGTCTGCCGCCCAATAGTACTCCTACGCAGCTCCATCAACGACCGAATATTGCAATGGCATTTGTACGTGGCGAGGCTGAGGCCCGAGACTGGACCGACGAGCGCAACCTTGGCCGAGTCGACATAGTCGTGGTTGAAGAAGAGGACGTCTCCGTTGCCGCCTCCCACGAGAACACCCGCGTCCAGCGCCACGATCGACGACACACCGCATGTGCACGCAGAGATGCTGTGGAGAAATCGGCGCGTCTTGACATTAACGACGGCAAAGTCACCGCTGGTCGTGCCGGCCACCAGCGTCTCGCGATCCGGTGTGAACTGCACGCACGTGTAGTCGCGGACAACGGGCGCGCCAAACTCGACCTTGGCTGGCGCGAGTTCCCCAGACGCTGGGTTCAGCACCCAGAACGTGAGCATGCGCGCGCCGCCGGTCGCAAAGAGGTACGAGGTCGTGTCGCGCCGCTTGACGTCGCGGTGGAAGCCGCCCCAGGTCACGGCGAGAACGTTCAGTTGGAGCTTCTGCTGCGTTGTGACGATGTTGCCCGTCTCTAGGTCCCAGATAAAGATGCGTCCGTCGCGCTCGGCCCCCACGGTGCAAAGGAGTCGCTCGTCGTGCGAGAAGGCGACACCTACAGCGTACGAATGAGCCCAGTACTGCGCTCATGTCAAGTGTACCATTGATGCCAAAGTCGTGCTCGGAGAAGCGGTGGAGAAGGCGCCGCGCAGCATAGTCCCATACGAGAACATCTGAATTGGACCCGTACTGTCCTGATGCGAGGAGGCCGCCGGTCGGCGACATGGCGAGGGCCGAGATGTTGCCGTCGTGGCCGCGCAGGAAGACCTGGTTGTGCGGGTCCGAGAGCGACGCGATGACGATGCAGCCGCCCGCGGGGTAGACATACTCAGCACCATTCGGGTGGAAGTGAAGGCCCGCGGGGATACCGGAGAATCCGATCGCATGCTCGAGCTCCATGACCACCGACGTCATCCTTGACGCCTCTTCGCTCGATTTTGGATCTTTTCGCCGCCTTTTTTTGAAAACGCTAGAGTGCAATCTTCACATACAAGGCGACAACGCCAGCACGCGCATCCATCCTGAGACGACAACGCCAGCACACGACCTGGGAAGACGACGCCAACACACTACAGTAGCTAGGTACAAGGCGACACGATGAGCGACCGACCGTGTCGGATTGGCGCGTTGCATTTTCGAAGGCCGGAACATTCGAAAAACAAGATTCCACACTTCAAAATGACCGCAACGCACGAGTTGCAGCCGCTCGTGGCCACGTCCCGTCGCAGTCGACCGCATCAGCGCTGGATCGTCCTGCTCGGCATCGCTGCCACGTGCTTGCTGGTAGCTTTTCAAAGGTCCGGCGAGCACCCACCGGTCCTTCGGCCGCCAGCGCTGGCGACAGTGCGCGTCGACTTGGCACCGAACGTGTCGAGCCCCCGCGGGTACACGGCCGTCGCGACCTTTGGCGTGCGCTACGACGCCCAAGACGCGTACGCGTTCGCGACGTTCAACGACAGCGTCCAAGCCATCGGGTGGTCGCAGCTCTGGGTCCGCGCCGCGTCGCCCGCCCACGACGACCGCGACTTTGGCTGCCGTCATGTACGCGGCAGGGTACACTGAGGGGTCGCTCACCCATGCGCGCATCCAAGAGCACTACCTCAACACGTACGAGTCGTTCTACGGCAACGACACGATTGCGCCGGCCAAGGTCGCGCAGTGGCTGCAGAAGCACGTAGAGTACCTCCGGGCGCAAATGCAAGGGCCCCACAAGGACCTCAACACGCTGCGCTACTGGCGTATGCTCGGCGGCATCTTTGCGCAGATCGAGGGCTTGGCCGACGGCTACAACGACCACGGGTCCGGCACCCCGCTCTCCGTCGCCGACCTGTTCTTTCTCAACTCGGACGGGGACCTCGAGGACTTGATTCCAGCGATCAATGCAACCGACGCTGCCGTCCGCAAAGAAGGCGATGACGAAGGCGCGTCCTTATCCCTCTACCAAGAGCTAACGAGTCTAAAATGCTCGGGGCTCATTCGGCTGTTGCCAAACGCGACGGACCTCATGTGGGGGCATACGACGTGGGACATCTTCTCCGCCATGAACAAGATGTTTAAACATTACGACGTGCCGCTGCCCGAAGGAGGCGCTCGCCGGCGCATCTCCATGTCATCGAGCCCGGGATACATCTCGTCCGTCGACGATTGGTACCTCTTGGACAGCGGTCTCGCCGTGCTCGAGACGACCAACGGCGTGTACAACAAGAGTTTGTACGAGCACCTCTCGACGCGCAGCGTGCTCTCGTGGATGCGGTACTCACTCCGTCCTATTCTTGCATGGCACGATGAGTCGTAGGTCCAAAGTCGCCAACGCCCTCGCCACCGACGGCGCGACATGGGCCGACACCTTTAAGCGCCACAACAGCGGCACGTACAACAACCAGTGGATGATCCTCGACCTCCACCGGTTCACACCCGGCGTCGGACTGGCGGACGGCGGCCTCACGATCCTCGAGCAGATGCCTGGCGCTGTCGAATCGAGTGACATGACGCAGGTGCTGCGCGATCAAGGCTACTGGGCGTCCTACAACGTCCCGTACTTTCCCGCCATTTATAACGCGACGGGCTTTCGCGCCAAGTTTGATTTGCAAGGGTGGGTCCGAGCAATTTGCCATTATCAATGACGTGGCAGCCTGTAGGAGCTCCGACTGGACGTACAACCACACGGCACGTGCCGAGATCTTTCGCCGAGACGCGCCGCACGTGGCAACGCTCGAAGATCTCAAACACCTCATGCGGTAGTCGAGTTCGCCTACCCTCGTCGTGACGACGCTTGTAGGTACAATGACTACGAGAGGGACCCGCTCTCCAAGGGCAACCCGGCGTGGGCCATTGCGGCGCGGTATGACCTCGCACACGGCAGCGCGTTCAAGCTGCACGGAGGCATCGACTCCAAGGTGTCGTCCTTCCGGCGCGGCTTGGACTTGGAGTGCGACGCGATCCTGGGACCGACCTCGGAGCAGCAGCCGACGTTTCAGTGGACGCCAGCGCTGGAGGCGCCGCATCGGGGGCAGCCGGCCGCGTTCAAGTTTCCATTTGTGACCATGCGCCACCGCGAGTATCTCGCCGACTAGTGCAGTGTTCTAAACAGAATGTTCCAAAACACTGTTCTAGACCATCCTCCACAGGAACCTTCCTCAACGCATGGTCGCAAGTCCTGGGACTTACCCAGCCGAAACGGGACAAAGAGCATAGAAATCGCACACGATTGTGGGTTTGTCCCATCCTATCGCGATGAGTCGACGGGGAAAACTCGAGTATCCGGATTGTTGCGATCTTCGCTCCAGTCAATTCGCAAGATGCATCTGAGCCCGCGGGAAGAAGACCACCTGCGCCTGCACCAGGCCGGCGTCCTCGCGCAGAAGCGGCTCGCGCGGGGCCTGCGCCTCAACTACGTCGAGACGATTGCGCTCATTGCCACCCAAATGCTCGAGCTCATTCGCGATGGAAAGACGGTCGCCGAGCTCATGAGCCTCGGGAAGACGCTCCTCGGGTTTCGCCAAGTCCTCGACGGCGTTCCGGAGATGCTGCACGACGTGCAGATCGAAGGAACTTTTCCGGATGGGACGAAGCTCGTGACGGTCCACAGTCCGATCTGCCGCGTCGACGGAGACCTCGCCCTCGCGCTCTACGGCTCCTTCTTGCCCGTGCCCGACCTCGCCGTCTTTGGCGTGTACGCGCCAGTGAAGAAGGAGTCGCTCATTCCAATGCAAGGCGACGTCGTGCTCAACGCTGGTCGAGAGATGCGCCATCTGCGCGTGACCAACCTCAGCGACCGGCCCATCCAGGTCGGCAGCCACTTCCACCTCATCGAGACCAACCCGCTCCTCGAGATGGACCGCGGCCGCGCGTACGGCCAGCGCCTCAACATCCCGTCGGGCACCGCCGTGCGCTTTGAGGTAGTCATCGTCCTACATCCATCACATTGCAAAATGGTAGCGTAGCCAGGCGACTCGAAGCTCGTGTGCACGGTGCCCATTGGCGGCCATCGCATCATTTCCGGTGGCAACAACCTCGCGTCGGGACCTGTCGACGACTCGCGCATCGATGCGATCGTGGCGTCGCTCGTTCAGAAAGGCTTCCACCATGCGCCGATGCAGTTGATCCCGCCGACACCGCCGACGCCGTGCCGCATGTCCCGACGCAACTACGCCCACACGTTTGGGCCGACGACGGGCGATATCCTCCGCCTTGGCGACTCGGAGCTTCTCATTCGCATCGAGAAAGACTACACTGTGTACGGCGACGAGTGCAAGTTTGGTGGCGGCAAAGTCCTGCGCGAGGGCATGGGCCAGGCCACTGGCCGCTGCGCCAATGACGTCCTGGACACGGTCATCACGAACGTCGTCATTGTCGACTACTCGGGCATCTACAAGGCGGATGTTGGCATCAAGCACGGCCGCATCTGGGCGATCGGCAAGGCGGGCAACCCCGACGTAATGGACGGTGTCGACCCCAACATGGTCATCGGCGTCAACACGGAAGCGATTGCTGGCCGCGATCTCATTCTGACAGCCGGCGGCGTCGATACGCACGTCCACTTTATCTGTCCACAGGTAGAATACCACGGAGATGGTACGGTCGCCTGAACGTGCTCTCCGAAGAAGCCTTGGCGAGGTGCGTTTGATGTACTAGCTCGTATTGTGCAGATCAAGAGCGGTCGCATAGCGGTCTCACGACGCTCGTCGGCGGTGGCACGGGACCAGCGACCGGCACCAAGGCGACGACGTGCACGCCGCACCCCGATCACCTCCGGAGCATGCTGCGCGCCACGGACGGGATCCCGATCAACGTGGGCTTGACGGGCAAGGGCAACTCTGCGTCGCACACGGGGCTTCAGGACATCATCGATGCCGGCGCTGTCGGCCTCAAGCTGCACGAGGACTGGGGCACGACGCCCGCGACGATCCATGCGGCGCTCGAGGTGGCCGAGGTCAACGACGTGCAGGTGACGATCCACACAGACACGCTCAACGAGTCGAGCTGCGTCGAGCACACGATCGCGGCCTTCAAGGAGCGCACGATCCATACGTACCATAGCGAAGGCGCGGGCGGCGGCCACGCGCCCGACATCATCACGGTCTGCGGCCAACTCCACGTGCTTCCGTCGTCGACCAACCCGACGCGCCCGTTTACGAAAAACACGATCGAGGAGCACGTGGACATGCTCGTACGTCGCGTTGCTTTGAGAAGAAGAATCCACGCCGGCGTCGTAGATGGTGTGCCACCACTTGGACAAGAACATCGCCGAGGACGTGGCGTTTGCCGAGTCGCGCATCCGCGGCGAGACGATCGCCGCCGAAGACATCCTCCACGACATGGGCGCCATCAGGTACGACGCCTTTGCTGTCGCAACTCGACGGGCGAGCGACGCACTAGCATCATCTCGTCGGACGCGCAGGCGATGGGGCGCGTTGGCGAGGTCATCACGCGCACGTGGCAGACAGCCGACAAGATGAAGACGCAGCGCGGCCCGCTGCACGACGACGTTGGCGCCGACAACTTTCGCGTCAAGCGGTACGTGGCCAAGTACACGATCAACCCCGCGATCGCGCACGGCATGGGCCACCTGATCGGGTCGGTCGAGCCGCAAAAGTGGGCCGACCTTGTGCTCTGGAAGCCGAGCCTCTTTGGCACCAAGCCCGAGATGGTGCTTAAGGGCGGCGTCATCGTCTATGCTCAGATGGGCGACCCGAACGCGTCGATCCCGACGCCGCAGCCCGTCAAGATGCGCCCGATGTTTGGCTCCCTCGGCAAGGCTGTCGGCCCAACCTCGATCGCGTTTGTGAGCCGCGCCTCTCTCGAGAAGGGCCTTGTCGCTACCTACGGTCTCTCCAAGCTCGTTGAGCCCGTGCGCAATTGCCGCCGCGTCACCAAGCGCGATATGAAGCTCAACGACTGCCTCCCCACGCTCCGCGTCGACCCCGAGACGTACCAAGTGACGGCCGACGGTGAGCTGCTCACGTGCGCCGCCGCGTCGACCTTGCCGATGGCGCAAAAGTTCTTCTTGTTTTGAAAGACGCATTATCCACCACGAATAGGATCGGTCTACGTACGATGGATAGGACGGGATTGGATACCGTCGGATAGTTGATACGTGTATTTTGGCGGGAAGCGGCGGTGGCAGCGGGTTGGCTCGCAAAGCTGCGTTGGCACTTCTCTTGATGTTTGTATGCCGGTGCCATCCGGACAAGATCCCACCCAAATGAACGTTGGGGAAGATCCCGCATTTGCGAATCGCGGATAGTAGCATGAAGCGAGGTCGCCGCGCCCAAGCCGACGAGCCGACCGAGACGCCGCCGCCGCAGCGCGCGCGCGTCGAAGGCGAAGCACCGCGCGGCCGCGGCCGCGCGGCCGTGACGGCGGCCCGAGCGACCTACTTTGCGACAGGGTCCACGGCGCCGATCAGCGCGCCCGTCGAGGTCGCGCCATCCTCCGCCGAGGAGTGGCCGGGCATGTTCAACACAGCGTACAGCCTTAGTCGTGGACGCTCGGCAGCGCAGGCGCAGCGCCAAGAGGAGCTTGAGAAGCGGGCGGCGGCGGCGGCCGACGACTTGGCGCTCTGGGAGCCCAAGACGCCAGCGCGGTCGCTCGTGCGCGTGCAATCGATGGTCGTTCCATCGCTCGTCGACCTTACGTGCAAGGTCATTGCACGCTCGATCCACGCGTTCCAAGAGCAGTACAGCGAGTACATGGGCGAACGGTCGTTGCAGTTGTCGCGGGCCAAGATTGCGACGCTTGTGGCCCAGGACCGCAAGCTGGACGCATCGGGTACGCACGATCGAGATCCGTCGTCTTCTCATGCCACAGTCGATAGTGCTGCCCTTCTTCATCTACCCTGGCGTCATGGAAATCGACATCCCCGACTGCTCGATGCTGGACGAAATGTCGTTCGTGTCGGCGCTGCAAGCCTGCCAGAAAATTGAGAAGGACGAGCAGATCGAAACACGGTTTAGCATCCTCAAGCTCGGTCTCTGCGGTCGCTGCATCTCGGACCGCGTCCTCGACAACCTCAAGTACAGTACCATAGTTTGCTCATCGTCTGATTGCATGGCTTGATGTAGGGTAGCGCTGGCGACCGTTGAAGAGATTCGTCTCGACGGCTGCTACCGCCTCTCGGACGACGGCGTTGCGTTCCTCAAGGCCACGTGCTCAGACGCGCTCGAGAGCTTCGAGCTGAGCAGCAACCAGCGCATCTCGAGAGCGAGCATCGAGAGCATTAGCGGCTGGAGCAACTTGCACACGCTCTCGCTCTCCGAGTGCCCGCAGTTTGAAGACGCCGACTTTGCGCCGCTCCTGCGCCTCACGCAGCTGCGGAAACTCACGCTGGTCCAGCTCGACAAGGCCTCGGACGGGCTCCTCGAAATGCTCTTTGGCGAAAAGTCGAGTCTCGGTACGCTCGAAGAGCTCTCGCTCGCCCGCTGCGCGCAACTCACCGACGCCGGCCTCGCGCACGTGATCGCCAAGTGCCCCAAGCTTGTGCACCTGGACGTGACGGACGTTGTCTTGCTCACGGATGCGACCTTTGCTGCGGTACGACAAGTTGTTAGAAGGCGTTGTGTCGATGGAGAGGACTGCATAGATACGCGCACACGGCCTGACCCTGCGCCGCGTCTTCTTGCGGCGGTGCATGCTCGTGACGGACGCGGGGGTCACGGACCTCGCCGTGAGCGCCAACCAGCACCTCGAGGTGCTCGACATTTCCAGCGTCTCGGTAGGTCCCACCTGTCGTCGTCATTGTACTACTCACTGGAGGCATATAGGAGCTCACGGGCGCAGCGCTGGCGGCGCTGGCGACGCACTGCGCGAGTGGGCTGCGCGAGCTGGACGTGTCGTTTTGCCGCTACATTCGCGACGCCGACCTCGGGCTCCTCACCGACGTGTGCACGGAGCTCAGCGTCCTGCGCATGTACGGCTGCACGCAGATCTCGCGCCGGTTCCTCCAAGGGCATCGTCGCGATGAGCTCGTGTGCGCGGGCCACCCGCTCCTGACCGGACTCAAGCTCGTGGCGTAGCACTATTAACTTAGTAATCTCGTCGTTTCTTCTACCGCGTGAGCGTCGGCGGCGTCGGGGCCACGAAATTGAGGCTGTGGAAGTCGCGGCGCGTCAGCTGCGCGCGGACGGCCGGGAGCACATCGAGGATCTGCGCGAACGTCGGGCGCTGCGCCGGGTCCTGGTGCCAGCACGTCTCGACGAGTTGCAGGAGACTCTCGGGGGTGTCTTTAGGGAACGGCGGCCGCATCTGCTGCCGCGCGACCGCAAACGCCGCTAGCGTCGATTGAGTACCATCCAAGACGAGGTAGGTGGTACCTTGGATGGGCGACATGCCTTTGAACGGCTGCTCCTTGGCAAGCATCTCCCAGAGAATCACGCCGTAGCTGTACACGTCGGCCTTCATCGAGTACGGCTCGTGACCAATGACCTCGGGCGCCATCCAGCGGTACGTGCCCGTCTCGGCCGTCAAGTCGGACGAGTGGCCGATCTCGAGCACGCAGCTCAACCCAAAGTCCGAGATTTTGACCGTGCCGTAGGCGTCGAGGAGCACGTTGCCCGACTTGAGGTCGCGGTGCATGATCGAGCACAGGTGGAGGTAGTTCATGCCCTAGCACATAGTACGTATGGTAGGCCGATCCATAGCGACAAGTCGATACCATGGCGATTTCCCGAGCGATGCGGAAAAAGTCGATCGGCGTCGGCTTGCGCTGGCGAATGAGGTCGGTGAGCGCGCCGCTTTGCATAAACTCAAAGACTAGGGCGATGAGGCAACGACGCGCGGATGGTATCCAAGTGTGTACCGAGGCAGTACTTGGGCGGGTTGATGGCGACGCCGAGAAAGAGCACAATGTTGGGGTGCCGCAGCCGGCTCACGACCGCGACTTCGCGGTAGAATTCGCTGAGGATCTCGTCGCTCAGACTCTGGTTGTGGTGCGAGACGTTGATGACCTTGGCGGCGATGAACGTGCCGCGCCAGATGCCGCTGAACGTCTGGCCCGACCGCCCCGTGCCAATCGCGTCCCTACTCCACAGCCTCTAATACGATGACGCAGTGCACGGGGGACGTACCCGAGATGCAGCTCCGAAAAGGAGAGTTGCCACTCGGGCTTGATGTCGCTGTCGAGGGTGATGCTCGTCGACGACATCGGCGCAGGGGCCGGTGCTGGCGACGGCACGGATTGCTGGGCGAGCCGCCGCTGCCGCTCCCGCTCCGAGTTTTCGGCGGCCTGCGCACTGCGCTCGAGGTTCTCCATGATGCGGCGCTTGAGCTCGGCGAGGCGGTCGTCCGGCACGAAAGACCCGCGGACGATAAAGCTACGTCAGCATGAGCAAGCAAACGCATGCGATTGGTCGCACCGATCGAGCGTGACGCCGTCGCGTGTCGTCATGACGTCGGCGTCCATGATGCTGCCCTTGAGACTCGAGAGGCCGCGCGTGATGGCATCGAGGAGGCTGTCGCGGTCTTTGGCCACGAGCACAACCTCGCACGTTGACGTGTTGACGCTACGCAAGGCGTGTCACGACGACCAGGGCGTGCAGTGACACACCTGCCGTCATCGTCTTTGAGGTAGTGGGCGTGCAGATTGATGTCGTCTGGATTTCGGTGTTGATTTGCGAGGAGTCGGATGTGCATGGGGACGTCGTCCGGGTCCACAGAGAGAGCGTAGCGCGCCGGTAGACGCTTGAAGTGGTTCTGTCATGCGTAAGAAGGGGATGCACCTCCGCCACGAAGCGCGTACCTGGACATTCTCGAGCACGGGTGCATACAGGTGGTTCAGAACGAGCTTCGACCCGTTCGATGACGGGACGTACGCGTCGCCGACCATTTGCTTGGCGACGGCGCAGCACATGTCGTGCATGACCGAGTCTTTGAGCCCGCGCTGGACGCCGGACGCCGACGGCTGGGACGCATATGAGATCAAAGATACGCAACACCTGTAGAGAGTACCTTGGGCGCAGCAGGAAAGAAGCTCGCGTTGTGCTTCTCGAGGTCCGATAGGGCTTGGATTGACTTGGACTTCTTCATGTTGGACGACTCGTGGTGCGACGCCTTCCCGAACGACCCGGTCAAGATGGTCGACGCAGAGGAGCTAGACGACGACCCGCGTGGGCGATGGGCGGCAAGCTCATCCTCGGCAATGAACATGTCGGAGAGCACCTGCGAGCGCGCCTCGAGGTCGGCGTGCTTTTCCGGAATCGATGGCAGCATCTCAAACTTGTCGACCGACAGTGGCGACGGCGCGCTGTCAAGGGCGAGGCTCGCCATCGGCGCATCTACGGGCGGCGAAAGGCTCTTGCGCGGCGGCGTGAAGTTCAGGTCCGAGTCAAGCAGCGTCGCCGAGCCCGAGCCTGTGCGCCACTTGCGGTAGAGCAGGCGGGCGTCCGAGACGTGGTCTTCGCCGACGACCGGGCGTAGAAGGCCGTCGTCGGCTGCCAGCACATGCGACTCGGACCAGGTGCGCTCCTTGGCAAGCGGCGACGATGGCGACGGCAGCGACGGGGGGCGGGACTTGGGTTGCAGCTCGGAGCTCATCATGTCGCCCCTCGCCTTCAGCGGAAGTACTAATTAAATACCATTGGAAGGTGTCGTAACGAGGGCCACTCCCTCAATGTAGCGTCAATCGGCGCGCGTGACGTGTCTTCTTCAACAAATCATTCCGGTCACTTCTACGAAATATAGTAGTATCACCCTCTTTATGAGAGAATAATTCATGTTGCCATCTATTTCTAGAGGTTTTTCTAGCGGCGTGCTCGTGCGACTCAAAAAGAAAAGGCACAACAAGGAGACTATACGTTGCCGCAGGTTATGTATTTTAAGCGTCCATTGTAGTATACAAACTGCAAGTGCCATCAAGATAGGATCCGGGAGGTCTTTTGGGATTGGCCACAGCCCAGCTTCAAGGTTGAAGTTGGGACGGCAAGATATGAGATTCATCACCTTTGAGCAGACAACTTAAACAAGGAATCGACAGAATCCTTTCTGCACCATCGGTACACTACTGTATCCGGTATTTCATGAATGCAGAGAGAATCGAGCGCACCATGAAGTCGCACGCATGTGGGGCTTGAGCTCTTCGAGCTGAGACTAACAATGTAAACACGACAGCACGCGACAAAGAAGTAGCTTGAATCCTATCACGCTCTACTACAGCGACTCCTCATCGTTCTGGTAGTTGGCTCTCCAACCGAGAAAGGCGAGTAGCGTCGAACTTACCATCATGGTGCGAGCTGCAAGGGCGCAGCTCATTCCATGCAGAAGCGATACCAATGTATGGATGGGACACATACTGATTCGCAACGGCCGACGTGTGCGAGCGATACGGTGCAGCAAAGACTGGCTCACAACTCTGGCTTCTTCCATCTTGTGACATCGATACAAGCTTTCTTTACGAGATGGTGCAGTTGTCGTTGAAGACGCTCCAGAAAGGCTTTTCCTTGCGTGCGGCGAGTCGCTGGCTCCGGCGGGGAATCCGCGGAGGAGAACGAGCGATGGCGTCGACGCCGAGCGCATCGAGACGTGGGCGAACATTGCGGCCGGCGACGTCGTCCGACGATAGCCACGAGCGATACCGTCGCATCCTTGACTCTCCTGGCAGCGTCGCGGACGAGACGCTGCCAACGGCGCTATACGTCGGGGACTCGTCAGCGTCGTCGTCGGCACGGTTGATAATGGGAAGCGTCTCGGTGACGCCGTTGCGGGCGGTGGCCCCGTCTTTGACAATAGTCCCATCTTCGCCCGCGTCGTTGATGACTGGGCGGATGATTTGAGAGGTGCGGGCTGCCGCTGTTGTGGAGCTCGCGCTCGTTAGGTCGATGAGTTGGTCGGGCGAGGAGGCAGTGCCTCGGTCGGTGCGAAACACATACCTACGCACATACATGAGCGAGGCTCGCAAGATTCGCGTCGAACGTACGCAATGACAAAGTCGCTGCCAGAAGCGAGTGTGATGATGTCGCCATGAGCGAGATGGTGCGGCGCATGGCCTGTATCCATGCATCGGAAGCGGTGCCAATAAAGAGATCGATGGCGTACTCGACATGGGCGTTGCGTTGACTAGCACCGCGTTCGTCGGCATACCGGTCACACACACGTCATTGCCGACCACTCTGACAGCTATCGTATGCTGGGCGCAGCGGCGAAGAGCCGCTTGCTGCTCTTGCGTCGCCGAGCCGAACGGGGTGCTAAAATTAACGCCGGCGCGCAAGAGGAAGCTTGACGGCCTACACGTGCATGATCGTCTGAAGCACGCGTGTGAGCCTACTGCAGCGTCTCGCGGTGTAGCTTCAAGCGACGGACGGCGCGTCGCGTCGTCGCTGGCAGCGAGGCCAGGTTCAGCTCCAGGCAGTGCATGCGACTTGCGATCTTTTGAAATGCAACCTGCCTCGTTAGATTATTTACCGGCGACGTCGTAGGTTTGATTCCAGATAGGCCAACTAATATCACGCAACTTTGAGTATGAAGCGGGCAGTTGCTGCATTGACGATAAACTTAATGCTTGGGTGTTTTTAGCGTGTACAATGTGTATTGCAATTAAATATATTATAGCACATCACATAGAGTTAACAAGTGATTGATATAAACAAGATAAAAATGTAATGTGCTGTAAAACCTCTTTTGATTGGTGCAAAAATACAGCGTTTTGGCGAATCGCACGTCGGCCCATTATTGCGATCCGTCTCGAAGCATGCAGCGGTTGCAGCAGAAGGTTGTCCGCAGCGTACAGCTCCGCAGCGCGGCCGAGGCCATTCCGGCCTCCGCGAACAAGCTAGCTCAAGTCATCTTCGTGTCCAAGGCTGGCGACAAGGCTGCGCTCCAGAAGTCTCTACCCATGGACCTGCCCGAGCAAGCGCTCGACGACTTTGCTGGCGACGCCAAGGAGACCATGCTGCTGTACCCTGGGGAAGGTCCACGCACACTCCTCGTCGGTCTCGGTGACAAGATTGATGAAGTTTCGCTCCGCGATGCGACGCATGAAGCCATTGCGCAGCTCTCAGCCAAGGGTGTCCAGCAGGCGTACTTGAAGGCGCCGTCTGTGGCCTCGATCCCTGACCGCCGTGTCGCCGAGCTCATGACGCAGGTCCGTCGGAAGCATCCATCATTACCTCACTGACAAGCACCTCCTGTGACTAGACGTCGCTTCTCTCAAACTACCGCTTCGACCGCCACGTGACGAGCAAGGAGACCGACAAGGCCGCGCTCACGGATATTTTGTGCAGGCCAGCGCCGAGTTTGCTTCGGTAGCTCTCATCACGGTCGACATTCGTAAAGGAGCTGTGCGCATAGGACGTGGCCGAGAAGCTCCTTGTCGCGGAAGAGACGCTGCTGGCACGGAACCTCGGGAACGAGCGCTCGGACATCGTGGACCCTGCGTTTGTCGAGGAGATTGCACGGGCGTCGGCGTCGGAGCTGCCAAACCTCACGGTCAAGGTGCTGCAGGACGCAGACTTGCGCGCCGAGGGCATGAACATGATGGTGCTCGTGGGCCAGGCCGCGGTTGTGCCGCCGCGCCTTGTGATCCTCGAGTACAGTGGCAACCCGTCGGCGCCGTCCGAGAAAATCGCGCTCGTCGGCAAGGTACTCTACTCTCTGAAGACAGCTGTACGCAGACACGCGTAGGGAATCACCTTTGACACGGGCGGTCTCAACCTCAAGCCCACGGGCTTCATCGAGGACATGCACACCGACATGTGCGGTGCCGCTGCCGTCCTCGGCGCTGTGCGCGCGGCCGCCAAGGTATGTCTGTTAAAACGTCAGCAGTCGTCGCAGGAGGGTGCTAGGCCAACCTGCCCGTGAACGTCGTCGCCGTGCTCGCGCTCGCAGAGAACGCGATCGGTTCCAAGGCCGCCAAGCCGCACACGATCGTCCAGTCGCACAAGGTATTGCACTCGATGTGTCCGAGCAAATGCCTCATTGTGGCTCAGGGCTTGACGGTCGAAGTCAACAACACGGACGCCGAAGGTCGCCTCGTGCTGGGCGACGCGCTCTCGTACGTCCAGCGCTACTACGCGCCGCACACGGTCATTGACGTCGCCACGCTCACGGGCGCTTGCATCGGTATGCGCCTCGCAGCGTATTTTGACTCGCTGGTTTCTAGTCGCCCTTGGCGAGTACACGGCGGGTCTCTTCTCCAACTCGGACACGCTGGCGACGGCGCTCATCGTGCGATGATGACCTCCCACGCCGTGAAAAGCTCATTCGAAGACACTAGGACGCGGGCGCGTCGACGCATGAGCGCTGCTGGCGGCTGCCGATCTTGCCCGAGCACACGGCCGAGCTCAAGGGCAGCATGTGCGACTCGCGCAGCATGGGCACGGTACCTCGCATGTCGTCGTCTTGACAATACCATCAACGCCATCATTGCATACTAGGGGCGGTACGGCGGGGCCTGCACGGCGGCCGCCTTTCTCCAGCAGTTTGTGGAAAAAGACGTCGCTTGGGCGCACGTCGACATTGCAGGTACCTCTACAATCGCGCTCGCAACCGATGCAATCTAATGGCTCGTAGGGCCGTCCAACTACTCGGCGCAGCGCTCGTACATGCCGGCGGGGGCCACAGGCTTTGGCGTCCAAGTGCTCTTCGAGTACCTCAAGCGCAACGCGTAGACGTGGATTGATGACCTAAACACGGCGTGTCTCATCCGTCTCTGCGTGCGTGTCGCACCCACGTTACCACAGACAATAATTGCCAGCGCAATTGTTGTCGGAGCTACAATATATATTACTAGTAAGGGTGTAGTCGGGCGCTGCTATAAGAACATGGACGCGGCTTCAAAGAGCATGCCAAACTCGTCGTCCCGGACCGGGTCCTGGACGCGCGTCAGCGTTGGCGCGCGGCGCTGCAGCGAGAGGTGGGGCGGCAGCGGCGGTTGCCAGTGCTGGTCTTCCTTCAAGTCGTGGATGATGCTGTCGGTGAGGGCGGCGTCGAGCGCAATGCTGGGTGGCGGTCGCTTGGCCTCGTCGAGAAGACCCGGGAAATGCGTGAGGGTTTGCAGGAGGTGGTAGTCGTCGATCGGTGGCGGCGACGACGGTGCGTTCTCGGGTTCTATCAGTTCGCGGAGGACCTCCATGTCCTGCTCGTTGAGATGCAGCATCGGGTCGACGGAGAAGGGTGCATCGTCGGAGGCTGGCGCCTCGGCTTCGAGGAAGCGCTCCATGGCCTCGTCCTCCTCGACCGAGACGTGGTTGTCGTCATCCGGGCCGTAGTGGCGCGTGATCTTGCAGAGCAGGTCTTTCCGGTTCTGGCGGAAGTACGGGTGCGTGAACGTGTACATGTGCGACCGGTACCGCGTGTTCTTCTTGAAGCCAAAGTAGTTGAGCTGGCGCTGGAAGCTCGTGAACTTGGAGTGCTTGAAGTACTTGGGGAGCACCGTCGTCTCGAGGGCGTGGCGGTCGAGAACCTGGACCGCGACGCCGTCCGAGGTCCACGTGATGATGTTGGCGTTCTCGTTCTCGAGCATGTCGAAGAGCGAGCGTAGGAACTTGGGCACGCCGACATCGCGCTTCTTCATGCGCGTCACGAGCGCGGGCGGCGGCGGACTAATCATCCCCAGCGGCGAAATTGGGCACTGACCTGAGCCATCAGCCGGCCGCCGCCGCCAGCTGGTCCGCGCCTGTCCCGCATACAAAGCGCAAGGTTAGAGGCACCGCGACTCAACGTTCCGAGTGTGACACACAGGCGGCATTCGATGGAAAGCATGCGGGACGCCACCGAGCTTGGGGTTTGTATACCGCTCAAACAGAATTTAATTACCGACCAGACAGCGTATCCTGGATATGCGCCAATCAGCAGCCGCGACACGTACACTGGACCAATCGCAGCGCCGATGAACATAATGCTGCATTACGCGGCGCCGTGGTACGGGCCCGCGTCACCGAGCCCGACTGGCCCTTCTACAAGTAGACTTGAAGTTTGGCTGGCGCGGGCGGGGGGCGAACTGCAAACGGAAGTAGCCGTGAAGGCAGGCGGCGACGTAATCCAAGGGCAAAGTGACGAGTAGCTTTCCACAGACCGACCGAGGAGCTCCCGCTCGATCGCCGATCGCTGCGGTCCAGAATCGATGGACGTCATCCAACGCCTGCCTGTCGTGGGATGGGATGAGCATCAGCTGCGCATGCACGGTGGGCCCGGCTAGCCGAACCCATCTCCATTATTGGGTCCTCTGATGACATTATCAGTTGCCGCGTCCTTGGCGCCATCATGGTACCACCGCGAGGCTGAAATCGATTGGCGGGCTTCTAAGCGCCGGCTCTTGCCGTCTCCTTTCGTTCGATTTCGCTGGCGCCGACGTCACGCTCTGCGACTGCACGGGCCGAGACATAGACTAATACGCACGCGCTAGGTCGATTTTAGCAGCGCTAGGTAATTGAGCGCTGTTGGCTTGGCGCCGTCGCATGGCATGGTCGTGTCTCTGCAAGCCGCAACTCACGTTTGATTGGTCAAAATACGCGCCCAATATAATAGATTCTGACCAATCGCACAATGCTTGCAATTCCAGGCTGCGATGGCAACGACGTCGTTCCTGGCTGCCGCCCTCGACGGCGACCCGTCGTCCGACTCGGACTACGTGGCTGGCGATGACCTCTCGTCGAGCGAGTCGTCAAGCGCTGGAAGCGGTCTCGAGGACGAGCCCAAGAGCGACGACGAGTACATGACCCAGAACACCAAGGTCGTGCAGCTCGTCAACTACGCGTGCTGCGCCAAGCGCTGCATCTTTGGCCGCACGGAAGAGATGGACCTCTTCATTAGCTCGCTCGACGAGATGTCCAAGGAACTGCGCCACGCGTGCATCCTCACGTCGCTCTCGATCTCGATCTCGATGGAGCGGAAGCGCAAGTCCCGCTCCAAGGGCGTTCGCGCCCGGTATACGTACGTCATGCCGTACCTCGGCGCCGTGTGCAAGCAAGCCTTTGAAGCGTGCTTTGAGATCTCGACCGGGTCGCTCAACAAGCTCCGAAAGCAGGTCTCGACCTCGATCGTGCCCAAGAAACACGGCAACCTCTCCAATCAGAACGCCAAAGCCATCGACTACGACGCGCTGCGAGACTGGCTCACGGCGACGGCCACGAGCATCGGCGCCCCGCTCTCGGTCCGGCGCAAGTCTCGCACGAAAGACGACGACGGCGTCGTGCACGTACAGTACCGGACCGACATTGTGTACGTGCTGCCCTCGACAATGACGTACGAGAAGCTGCACGCCGAGTACCTCGCCCACCTTGGCCCGCAGCCGACGCGCGTCCCGAGCGAGAAGTCGTTTCGGCAGTTCATCAAGTCGTCGTGCCCGCATCTGCGCATGGCGGCCGACGCCAAACACAGCAGCAAGAAGAAGCCGCCCTTGTAATGCAGGGTTGTCATTTATTGTATCGACTACTTGCGCACGGCGCCCCAGCCTTTCGTGACGCCACTTCGAGGGGCGGATGCTGGCACGTCATCCTGCGTGAACGAGCCAAAAGACAGCGGAAGTTTGCGGCGCTGCGACGGCAGCTGCGTCGCCTGCGTCGTCGTCTGAACGGCATCGTCGTCATCGCTGTCGTCCAACGCAATCGCCTCGGGCGCCGGCTTGGACTGGCTCGTCGTCCACTCGGACAATGTCGACTGGCCCTTGAGCGGCGCCTTGCGCGCGGCGGCGGGCGCGCGCGTCTTTCGAGCAGCAGGTGTTTTCGTGTTCTTGGGTGGTGGTGACAGCACCGCGTCATCGTCGTCGTCGTCATTGTCAGGCTGACTCGTCACGCGTGCCGAGGCGCCTCGAGGCTTGCGGGCGGCCGGTGCCTTGGCTTTCTTGGCGGGCGGAGAGGCCACGTCGCTGTCATCATCGCTTGCCGGCTTGGACGCGCGCGGGCGACGGACGGCGGGGGCTCGTTTTTTCGGGGGCGGGGAGGCCACGTACTCGTCGTCATCGTCCGACAAGCCATCGCCGTCCTCAGGCGGCATCGACGTCGTATGTGGCTGCGAAAGGAGTTGTTGGAGCATGGTCGACGTCACGTCCGACTGCGTCGGGACCTAGCCACGGACTCTCGAATCACCGATTTTGCAGACATTATTGTGTACCGAGAGACTGGCGCGCATGCGATCCACGTTCTTCTCGACCAGCGCTTGGATCTCGGCCTTGGTGACCGTGCCCTTGCTCTGCTTGAGCGCCTGCTGCGTCTCGTCCAGGACCGAGTCGACAAACTCGGTAAAGGCCGACGGCACGTTCTTGAACACATACTCTTCGAGCGCGTGGGCCATGTTGACCTCGGGGAAGATGTCGAGCTTGAGCTCGCTCTGGTCGAGCTGCGCCGCCAAGATCTGCTCGACGCGCACAACCGCGTCGTTGGGCGGCGGCGGTCGAATTGGCGCCAGAAGGCCGCCTTTGCGGGCCTTCTCGCCCTCGTCCTTGCTCGTTCTGTCCTTTTTCTCGCCCTTGTTGCGCGTGAAGAGGAGAATGTCGCCGGGGTTCGCAACGCGCCCGACAAACTGACCGCCAAAGCGCTGGTTGTTGATCACGGGGAAGCCTATAAGAATCCAATACGATCACCCTATTGTTGTACACCACACACCCGTGTGCTCGACGCGCAGCCGAACTAGAATCTCCATCGGATCCGAGTGCGCGGCGGCCAGCTCGGCGTGCGCCTCGTCGAGCAGCTCTTGCACCTACACAGTGGCACTCGACCCGAGTCGAGACGAGAAATCAAGGTACCCGCGACGTAAGGATCGAGTGCATCTTTTCGGCAACTTTGGGGTCGTTCGGGTCGAGGCCATCGATGTCGCGCAGGGCGACGTCGCGGATTTTGAAGGGCCGGACCGTCTTGAGGGGCTCGGCGCGGAGGCGAAAGTCGCTGCCTCGGATTTCAAGGATGCCCACCTGCATCCGCGCACGTCATGGCGACGAAGAGGGGGAAGAGGAGGAGGACGCATATGTACCTGCTTGGGCTTGGCCTCACCTTCGATGAGCGAGGTCGCGACGCTGGACCCGGGCTGCGTGATGAAAAAGTTGCCCTTCGCACTCTCTTCGAGCTCGATGAGGCACTCGTGCTCGTGGCCCCAAATGACAAAGTCGATGAACTCGGGAATGAAGCTCTCGGGAAGGCAGTTCTTGGCGCCGCGGCCGCGGTTGTCGCGGTTCTGGTGCACGACAAAGATGGAAACCACGCGTCCGGCGACTCCTCGGGTCGCCGGAAGCGCACTTGGCCCTTGGCGAACATGCGATGGAGGCGCTCGTCGCGCATGTTGCCGAGGCCGTAGATCGCGATCTTGGTCGCGCTCTTCTCGAGCAGAATCGGAAACACTTCGATCTCGTCGACGCGATCTGACTTGCCAAAGTAGTTGACCTAATACAGATCCAAGCGTCAAAACGGTGGGCTTGACCTGTTGCAGACGAGGTTGGCCGCAGAGAGCAGGTCGAGGGCCGCGAGCGACCGTCCGGCCTCGCCCGTTGGGTCGTCGTGGTTGCCGTGGATGCTAAAGATCGGAAGGCGGACGTTGACGTTCGGGTCCTCGTAGTTGGCGACGCCAAAGTTAGGAAAATTCAAGCTCTGGTCCGAGAGGATCTGAAAGTTGATGTTGCCGTCGCCTACGCCGAGCGCATGAGTCCCATGCAGCTGGTCGCGACGATGCGCACCGAGGCAGTAGTGGCGCAGGAGCGACATGGTACGGTACATGGTCGCGCGGCTTGGCTTGTTGTGGTGGAAGAGGTCGCCGGCGAGGAGCACAAAGTCGACCTTGGCCTTGACGCCGATGGCCAGCATCTCTTCGAAGGCGCGGAACGAGTCTTTGCCGCGGACGCCGTCATTCTCGCAGTACCCGAGGTGGTTGTCCGTGCTCACGAGGATCTTGACCGTCGCTCCGTCCTCGTCGGCCATGGCAAAAATCGCGTTAAACCGTGGTAGGTAATACGCGTTAAACAGTCCGAATAACGCGTCTTACCTTCGATCATGACCGCTTACCGGTAGTTGGCTGCACGAGCTCTGCTCTGCTCATGCAAGCGCTCGTTGCGAAAACGAAATGGATGGTCCGTCATGAGCGGCCATCCACAGAGCTTGGTCGACTCCGACCCCATGGATCGCAGACAGTTAAAGTAGGTTACCTTGGAGTAGGAGGTCTGTCGTGTTGCAGGTCGGGGTTGTGACACAACGACTGCGAGGGCAACGATGACTCCATTGATTCAAAGCAAAATGAGTCCTGTGGCAGTCGTGTGTACGGTCAGCGCCCGAGAAAGACTCGTTCGCGCGACGTGTCGGGCTTCAAGCAGTATTTCACGCCCGCTTTTGTCGTGACGAGCCAAAAGAACCAGGACTCACACTTGTTGTCGGTCGAGAACGAGGCACCTGTGGAGGTCCGCCCGACATGACCGTGACGACAGACAGTCATCGGCTTGCGTTTATACAGCCATGGCGTCGCCATCGCTGTCGTGTGCTCTGGTTGGTCGGAGTACGCGTCATGGCGGTTGACGCGAATTCCTTGCTGTGCATGCTGCAATGCACTGGGAAGCGCGATCAGGATAAGACGCGCTCAGAAGCTGGCGACGCGACGCAGGGCGCCAAGTCCCACCAAACCCAAATCCATTGGCTGATCCAGCAGCCTGAAGGGATCTAATTGGGCAATGAGCTTTAAAGCTGACCAATCAGACGCAGCGCCAGGTTTTCCAGCTCGTGCAGAGCTGGAGCGTGGTTGACGCAGGAACTAGTCGACGAAAGTCCCCCGCTCGCTCTGCAAGAGGTCCTGCATCACACGGCTTCCACACACCTTGCCGCTCCACGTCTGACATCCTCGGTGCGCATCTCCTGTGAACTCACGTTAATCTCACACGACGGTCGTCAGTATTTGGTCGACGACGGCGACGCCACGTGGTTCGAGGGGTACCCACAAAAAGGACTTCGACACCCCAATCGTCATCACGCTTACGGGACTTGTCGCTCTCTTCGCATAAAGATATCTATGCAGTGGCGACTGTCGCCGTCGCAGGGCCGCGCCGCGCGCTTCAACGGACAGTGGTGGCGCCGTACCCATCGCCGTAGGGGTCAACGGTAGGGCCCCCCAGCGTGTCCCAGCGCCTCTACCCTGGGCTTCTTCAAAGACGCACCTCACAATACTTCAAATCGGTGCGCCTTTGACTTCTTCTGCGGTATAAACACGACCGGTTCTCGCGGAAGGTGCAGAAATGAGGTGGTGCTGAAACCAAATTTTGCCCGAATCTTCAACGTTCGACAGCGGGCGGCAGAGCAAGATGCATTTCCAGATTTCCCAAGCAGCAGCAGCATGGACGTCGCCGAGCAACTCGCGCAAGAGCGTATGAAGAACATGCGCCTCCAGGAAGAGGTCGACCGCCTCCGCAAGGCCGTCGTCAACGTCGTACGTCCACGCATCCCCATGAGCCACGCACAAACCAAGCCTCTGTCTAGACACTTCTCGCTGAGAAGGAGGAGGAGTGGATGATCAACCAGTTCCTCCGCCGTGTCCAGCCCCAGGCGGTTCACGACACGAAGCAAGCCAAGGAACTCGAGGCCGAAATGCAGCGACTGCGCCACGAAAAGGTCGTGCTCGGGCAGCGCTACGAGCAGGAGCAAGAGTCCATCGTGAACCGTCTTAGCCGACAGCTCCAGGCCAAAGAAGCGACCATCAATGCCCTTCTCTGCGACGACTCGAACCGCTTGCAAGACCGCGCACGAGACCCGACCGGTCAACTGCAGCAGATCCTCGTCACCGTTCTCAAGGAGAAGCGGGCGCTCGAGAAGCAACTTGCCGACGTCCTCAGTCGCCGGACGCTCGACGCCGCCCGTGCGCCGGCGCTCGACGACGCGCAAGTGAGCACGCTGCGCCAGCTTCTGTTACAGAACCAGCAAGGTACTTGAAGCGTTTGACGCTCCATGTCGCTCACATGTATGTAGCATCGACGGCAATGCTCGACCAGCTGAGTCGCATGGACCAGTACGACGTGCCTACCTTAAAGCGGCTGCGCCAGTCGCCTCTCCACGGCCCCGTGCGCTCGTGGTCTCTGAGCTCGCCATCCCCCACCAGTGCGTGCTAGTCCTAGCCCATACGTACACGTGTTTATATATCCCTCCTGTCCTCTCCTGTCCCTTGAGCCGAGTCGTCAAAGCCAAACCGACGGGCCATTTCACTCGCCATCGCCGCCGTAGCGAAGCGGTCGAACGGAAACGCGACCGTCGCGGCCAGTGCGAGCGGCGACGGGGACGGCGAAGCAACGCATGTCTTGTCATAAACGCGCAGGAAGAGATGGAGGGCCGTGAACCACTGCCACACACTGGCCGGTGCGGCGTCCGCCCTCGTGGCTAGACCACGATCGTCTGTGGTCCAAATGCTGGCAGCACGCGTACCTGCAGAAGCGACGGCGTCATAGAACCACGCCGGCGCCGGCAAGTGGTCGTGCTTGTGCAACACCCGTTGGGCGAGGCGCAGGGCCATCGAGACCTGTCGGTAGAGATATCGAAAGCATTCGGTACATGCATGCTTGTACGTTGTTGTCGTCGAGGAGAAGACGCAGAACGTCGTCGACGCGCCCGAGACGGTGGTACATGTCGAGGGCCACTTGGAAGAACGGACGGTACGCCGTTCGACTCTACGTGCCATGATGACGTCGACGCTGATACGAAGAGGAACTGTGTTGCCTGGAGCTCCAGTTCGCGTGCGAGCGAAGGCGAGTCGTGCTTGGCGGCGAGAAACGCGAGGCCTTCATGGCACTGCCCTCGCTGCACGAGCACTTGGACGTACAGCTGGAGTCTACGCCGTGTCTCGAGGCTAAGGTCGGTGTTCCAACGTACGTACATGGCTGGCTCGATCGGGATGGCGAACGCCTCGAGCGTGTGGAGGTAGGCACTCAGATACAGGTGGACGACGTCGGGTGGATGGGCTTGATGCTATCGAGACCCTATAGTATATCCAGAGGACTCGCCGTCTTTTACCAGCGGCAACCAAAAGTGCGCATAGCATTCTCGCTGCAGTACGACCAGCATGCGTTGCTTCGAGTCCCGAACGTCGACCAGCTCGCCAGGCGACAACGACGACGACGACGACGACGACAGCGCCCGCTGGTCGGCCCCACTCCGTCGCGGGTCGCTAAGGCTATATGACTGGAAAGCACCTCGTGTCGCTTCCTACCGGTCCAGCATCGCGAGGCCATAGATGCGATGCAGGAGATGAAAGTGGCTCGTGACCTCGGCGACGGGGGCGCGGTCGGTGATCCGCGCGTGCAAGCACGCAAACACACAGCACTTGGCGACGTGGGCGTCGGCGCGCCGGAGGAGGAAGCGAAGAAGCGCACTTGCGCGAAGCCCCGCTGACGCGCATCGCGAGATTTCAACCAGCGCCAGCGTCACCTTGGCAAAGCAGTGACCAGCGTGGTAATAGTACTTGGGCCAGAGAAAGCGGCCGTCGGGGGTCGTGGCGGGTGCCGGTGGCAGCGGCGAGACGACCGGCTCGGCGACGTCCAAAGCGACGTCGTAGAGGCACGAGACGCCGAACGCGCGGCTGTGGGCGACGACGACGTTGTCGACGACCGAGAAGGCGACGTCGGCGTGCGCAGGGAACGGCAGCTCGAGCGCCCGCACGCACTTGGTGTCGGTGCCCGCCTCGATGCGGTAAAAGAGCAGCTGCGACGACGTGCAGTGGAGGATGTAGTGCGTTTCGTAGAGCGTTGCAACGCAGACGCTCGCGACGCCGGCGACGACGACTTTGGAGCACTTGGTCACGATCGCGCCTTCGAGAATGAACGGCCGGAGCTCCGACGCAGTCGCACCTGTCTGCAGCACCACGAGGTGCGCGTCGGCGTTGTACCAATATGCAAACGTTGCATGCGCGACGAGGCGCTGAAAGGTGCACTAAGAAGCCGCATGTGGACATGCCGAATACACTGCAAGGCTTCTCTACCTTGGCCGGCGTCACCTTGAACTGCTCAAGGCCGCCTGTCGTCACCAGCACAAGGTACTCGGTCGAGGTCTTAAGATATGCAATCTACGCATGAGGAACACCATGAGAAGTGGTTGTGCGGGACGAATACCTTGGAGCTCCAGACAAGGCCAAGGATGCGCGACGAGCGCTTGCAGAGGACATTGAAGCGGTGGTGTGGCTCGCGCAGCACGGCAATCTCTACCTCGACGTCGCTGCGCTGGAGCGCGAGAAACTGCTTGCTCGTAGAAAGCTTGGCGCTGCAGAAGGCTGTGCCCTGGGCGTAGCTGCCGTAGCGGCCTGTTGGCATGGCCGACGCGTCTGGCAGCCCCGTGAGCTGCAGCGACAAGCGGCCGTCGGGTTCGCCAGAGCCATCAGCGCAAGGAGATAGAGCGATGACGCATTGATGCGCCGAGTCGTAGAACCAGTCGCGTCCCATGGCCCCGCCCACGCCAACGGTCATGGCCTCGAGCACGACGTGGCTGCCCCCAGCCGCCATCGTAGTGGGATCGGGCAATCCCACGCGTATCCGGATCCAATATCCGTATCCCAAGCAAGCGTGGTTCCACCAATTTGCCACAGCCCTGGGTCGATGCATGTCGTGTTATCTTGATGCTTACGCAGTACCCAGGGCATCCGAACATCCTGCGAGCAGCCCTTGGAGGTCGGTGGGAGGTAATCCTTTGCGAATACAAGACGTTTTACTGCTGCCGGATTGCTCGTCGTGGCAATCCAAACCGGCCTATCCAAACTGTAACCGGTTCAGGAAACGGTTGATAATTTACCGTGTGAATTTTGACCAATGAAAAGACGCGATTTTACTTGAATAAAAATATTTTCTTCTGAACGTATTTGCATACAGCTTTGCATACAATATAAAACTTTGGTATTTAATGACCGTGCATTTTCGTGTGCAGCCGGAATACAATTCATCGGGCCAGTGTTTGCGGCAGCGATGACGTCGCATGGAGCGTTCGCGGGAGCCTTTGGCGGCGCCGGTGGCTTTGGCAGCAGCTTCGGCGCTGCCCCCGGTAGCTCGACTACATTCGGCTCCTCTGCGACTGCAGGTCCCGCGTTCGGCTCTTCGGCGCCGGCCTTTGGGACATCATCGACGGCCTTTGGTCAGCCATCGACAAGCTTTGGCTCTGGCCAGCCCAGCACAGCGACCACGACCTTTGGCTCCAGCGCGCCTACCTCGACAACCTTTGGATCTGCGTCGACGACGCCCTTTGGTAGTGTGCCAGCTACCTCGACAGCTTTTGGGTCGGCGTCGACAGCACCCGTGTTTGGAAGCGGCCCGACGTCCGGCGGCGGCTCAATTTTTGGTAGCGGCGCACCGGCAGCGAGCTCGGTCTTTGGCAGTGGCACGACCTTTGGCGGCGGCGCGCCAACTACGAGCTCGGCCTTTGGCGGCTCGTCCGCACCTACGTTCGGCAGTGCGTCTTCGACCACAACGTTCGGTGCACCCGCCTCGGCACCAGCATTTGGCAGCGCGGCCACGACACCGGCTTTCGGTGGGTCCTCTCACTCGACACCGGCTTTCGGAGGCAGCTCTACGACAACGTTCGGTGCGTCGAGCTCGACGTCAATCTTTGGCAGTGCGACAGCTGGTCAAGCGTCGCCATCGCCGTTTCCTAGCGCCCCAGCACCGACAACGGTCTTTGGCTCTTCGTCGACCGCACCGGCGGCCGCCACCGCCTTCCCGTCGTCGTCGTCGTCTACAATCTTTGGCTCTGCCGCGCCTTCTGCCTCGTTTGGCTCGTCGAATGCGTCCGTGTTCGGCGCCGCTTCGTCGCCGTCGACGGTCTTTGGCGCCAAGGCGGCGTCGTCCAAGCCATCAACCTCTGCCGCCGGAACCTTTGGCGCATCGTCCAGCGCGACGACGTTTGGAGCTGCGTTCCCGCCCAACGCTTCGCCGGAGCCGACTGCGTTCTCGATCCAGTCCATTGGCGACTCGCCGTTCCAGAAGCCCAAGGAAGAGCGTCCGCCCGTGCGCAGCAAGCGGCGCGAGTCCAAGCTGCAACTCGGCGAGAAGAACCCGTTGCCGCCGCCGTCGACGTCTCCGTCGCCGTCGCCTCCGAGCCGCAAGCCTCGCCATCGACCGGCGCCGCCGGTGGAAGACACGACGGATCCTGCCGCATCGGACGACGACCTCCCAAAGCCGCCGGCCAAAACCGACCTCGCCGAAGCCACGAACCTCGAAGGCACGTGCGTCGACATGTGCTCGCCGAAGGAGCTCGAGATGCACCTCAAGCACGACGAGCTCAGCGCGTTCGAGAAGGGGCCGGACGCGTTTGCCGTGAAAAAGTTCCAACGCAGCTCGGCGTCCCACAAGCTCGACATTCCGTCCGAAGTCCGACCACTGGGGTACTGCACACTGCACGATAGACGACGACGACGACGATCCCGCGCCACGACCATCGTGGTAGAGCATACGAGACCAATCATGCGTGTGTACTTAGGGTGCTCCGCTCGACGCAGCTGTACCTCGAGCAACACATCATGGACCGCGAACGCCTCGGCGTCGACCACCGCATCAACCCGCCGCGCGTCCCCGACCTCCTCGACGTACGTCGTCAATTTCTCGGGTGCAATGGGCTGCATCTAGTATCTTGCTTAGCTCTACAACTTCCTCTGGGACCGCACGCGCATGATCCGCAAGGACATCTCGCTGCAAAACTACCGCGGCGGCGGTGGCCGGACGCACCCGATCGCGATGGACATCCACGAGCGCATTGCTCGCTACTACATTCTCAGCCAGCACGAGCTGATCGACGAAGCCCACTTTATCGTGCAGCAAAACGTCGAGCAGTTTGGCAAGGTCCGTGGGTGGTTTGACTCGATTGTATGACTCTATTCGCGTAGACGCTGCGCAGTCTCCTCGATTTCTACGACGACGCGCGGGCCGAAGGCCTCCCGACGAGCCCGTTTGAGGCCGAGTTTGCGGGCTACTACATCCTCGGGACGCTCCACGAAGGCGGCATCCTCGACGTGCTCAAGTTTACCAAGTCGATGCCACCGGACCTTTTGGCCTCGGACTTTGTGCAGTTTGCGTGGGCCGTCTTCGTGGCCCGCCGAACCAACGACTACGTGGGCTTTTTCCGGCTCCTGCAAGGCGCCACGTACCTCCAGGCGTGTCTCATGCACCAGTACTTTCCCAACGTGCGCTCCAAAGCGCTCGAAACGATGAACGCCGGCTACAAGCGGCCAGGCAACAAGACGCAAGAGTTCCCGATCAAGGAGCTCACGGACCTCCTCTGCTTTGAGAACGAGGACCACACGGCATTGGTCTGTGAGCTCCACGGCCTCACGGTCAAGGCGGGCGACGTCCTATTTGGTGTCGGCGACTTCCGCACCGACAGCTACCTCCGCGCCGAGAAGTCACCGGTGCCAAACCCACGCTGCGACCGCTTTATCAGCATCAAGCAAGGGTACTTTGCGTTGTCTGGTGGTGGCGCGACGCTCATGGCGCTGGTAGGGACCTCTGGCGACGGGACGTGGTCCGTGGCGCGACCGAGTACGCACAAGAGGCCTATCCCGCCCTGGACATGGCCGTCAAGCTCGCGGAAGACGAAGAGCGCAAGCGGTTGTATCCGGAGCGGCCGCCGTACGACGACGTCTACACGACGTTCGCCACTGCAGCCCCCGCTGTCAAGACGGCTCCGTCGCTGCAAGCCGCACCGCTGCCCAAACCAGCGCCGCGCCACCATGGCAGTATGAACCGCACGTGGACGCCCAACAGTGCCGCCGCGCCGTCGTCGCCCGCGCAACCGCCGTTGCCGCCGCCGTTGCCACCGACGCGCCCGCCGAGCATTAATCGCGTGTGGGTGGCGCCAGCGACCGAGGCGGCGCCGACCAAGTCGGTCGAAGTGCTGCACCAGATTGAAGAGCGGCAGGCGGCGATCGCCAACGAGAAGGCCGCGATGCTCAAGCGACTGCAGGACCTGCAACAGCTGAAACAGCAGGCGAAGAGCCCAGCGCCGTCGACAGCCAAACCTGTGGGGACGCCGCCCGCGATGACGCTCACGCCCAAGCTCAAGCCCACGATCACGCCGACGGTTGTGGCCGTCGACGAAGAGATCGAAAAGAGACGGCGTGCCGAGGAAGAAGACGCGATCGCTGCCAAGGCCCGCGACGAAGCGGCGCGCGTTGCTGCCTTGGAGAAGCAGAAGCAAGAAGCGGAAGAAGCTGCCCGAGAAGCCGCTGCCGCTCAAGCGGCCCGAGAAGCTGCCAAACGCGCAGAGGAAGCTGCCAAGGCAGAGGCCGCCCGGCGCGCCGCCGAAGAAGCCCGCGCCCGCGCCGAGGCCGCGCGACTCGCCGAGGAAGCTCGTCGACGCCAAGCGGAAGAAGACGAGCGCTTGCGAATCGAGGCCATCGAGCGAGAGCGACTCGCCGAGATTAAGGCGTTTAGCGACAAGTGGCTGCAGATCAACTTTGACGGACGCGCCATCCTTGACGCGCGCTGGGCAAAGGAGGCCGCGGCCAAAGCGGCAGCGCGCCGCGCCCGCCAAAACCTCGCGATCAAGCGTCTGCGCTTCGCGCTCTGGAAGCGATTCATGCACGTCCAACGCGATACCCGGCGGTAGATGCTTGCATGTTGTTCGGCAAGAGACTTGATTTCCACGTAGGAGTGTCTCGCCCGTCGGTGTCGAGATGCTGCCGCGCAGCCAGCACGAGTCGGCCGCTGACGTCGCCAAGTGGTACGTCCTTTTGCTTGAACGTGCGTGGACTTATGCTGTAACTGCAGGATTTACAAGGGCTTTTCTCGGCTGCCGCGCTGCCTCCCGCCGTGGTCGCCGCAAGACGAAGCGCGCAGTGCGATGCTGCACGCCACGCGCACACTCTTGCGCCAACACGCGGGGCAACCCCCGTGGATCTCAGCCACGTGCTTGGCGCCGGCCTCGTCAGGCGGTACCCCGGTGTCCCGACCATTCACTATACCCTGGGCCTCGTTTGCTCCACGTCGGATGCATGGACGCAGTGGTGGACGACGACGTGTGCCCCGGGGAGCACCCAGCACGGTCCACACCAGCGTGTCTCGGTCAACGTGGCGACACGGACACCAACGACGCTCGATGACACGGACGACTGCGTCCTCATTCCTGTCACGGCGTCCGACATGCCGTCCCTGCAAGCCATCGTTCGCGCCAGTGTGCGGGACGTCGCTGCCCTCGGTCGCGCGATCGACGTGTATGTCGTCTGCCTCACCGCGCTGGATCCTGCGCTCGTCGCCCGCGTGACCGACTCGATCGCGCCGCTGCCGTCGCCGCTTCGCCGCGTTGTGTGCGTGGCGATGACGTGGCCAACGGCGCCCGTGCTTGCTCTCCAGGTACGACGACACCTGTGGTCGGCCTGCTTGTGCTCATGCTGCGCTAGATGCTCACGTCGCTCGTCTCCCCCACGCAACGCTCCACTCGGTCTGTGACGCCGACTTGCTCACGGTGCTCGAAGACGTGCTCGAGAGCGCCTTGTACGAAGCCCACTGCCGCCGCATCCAAGCGCCCTCACTCCTCGCAGCGTCCATCCAGGCGGCCTTTGAAACGCTCTCGGCGCTCGCCCGCCCGTCGCCCGCCGTCGCGGATCGCGTTGCAACGATCTTTTCGGCGCTGTCCCAGCCGCTGCCGCCACTCCCCTCGTCCTGGGACGCGGTGCCATCGTTCGTCGAAGCTTTCTTTGCCCCGCTCAAGACGCCCGAGACGCGCTGGCGACCAGTCGTGCAAGCCATGCCCGCCAACCAATATGCTTCGCTGCTCTCGTTTCTCTTTGCCGCGCTCCTCGAGTCGGTCGTCCCGGCGCCGATCGTCGTTGCCCTGCCGTCCGCCTGGCTCGACGCTCTCCACAACAGCCTCCGTGATCTCGCCGCCTCGGCCGTCGTTCCGCTCCAAGTGACGACTGCGCCGTCCAAGCGCAAGCTCGCCCTCGATGCGCCCGCACCGATTATGCCGGACAGAATGGTCTGCGTCGTACCGATGCTGCCAGCGATCGCGCGCCAAAAGACGTGGGCGCTGCAGGCGCGCGTCAAGCGCACCAAGTCGGCGCTCGCCCACGAGCAGTCGGCGTCGGCGTCCTACCGCGATTTTTGCAGCGCCAACTCGCAGCGTGCGCGCCGTCGCCGTGAGCCATGTATGTCAATAGAAGCGGATGCATATGTATTTGCTTGTCCGTGGACTTGTCGAATGACTCTGGTGGAATCTTTTTCCAATCTTGCAGAAGACGTGACGACATGAGATTTGTGTCGTCCTAAAGACGCCAGAAACGTGATGTTTCAAGAAGGCCACTGAGACCGAGGCGTGATACGCCCTCCTCCTCAAGGGCAACCAGATCGTATAGAAGAAACTTGATGTTGCCACACTCTCGGCGAGGTACCGTTGCTGTAGTAGCTGTTGAACGTCGCTTTGTTTCACGTCAACGGCTTCGTCTGTGCCGTCACGAAGACTCCTCCGCCACGTTGACCATATTTACAGCCATTCGAGCGCCAGCAAGTAGCTGCACTGTAAGGACCCTGTGGTCGACATCCACCATTTATGCTGCTCGAACACCAAGAGATATATCCTCTACAATGCTTCGACGACAGCCTCGGACACGGATGGCCACGATCGACGCGTGTTGCTCGCCACTGAAATTGGCGCCAAAACGCTGGATCGTCGCCAAAGGTCACGGGCCAATCGCAGGGTACTTTGTCCAGACCGTACGTCGCGTACAATCCAATACAAATTAAGGATATCCATTTCGTACAATGCTTAATGTACGTGTACGTACGTACCATGGGGATCGTACATTTTGATTGGCCAAGCGGGTGAGCTGGGAATAACTGGTCGGGAGTATGCAGCCAATCCTGATCGGAGCTTCCTTTCCAGCCGGAATATGCGAAACGCGACGCTATGGAGGTTTGTATGAGGGCAACACGGGTGGCTATAAACGCGTATCGCACACGCTGCTTGGCTTTGCCGAGGAGCTCACTTTCTGCTGATTGCTCTGCTAGACACATCGTTTAGGTAATTCCCTCCGCGCGGCTCGACCTAGGGCTCATCTCCCTCGTTGCGTAGCATCTGAGCATCCAGAGGGGAACCATGCAAATCTTCGTGGATGCTTTGGGTGGTCGCACCCTGAACCTGAACGTCGCCGCCGACGCTTCGGTCGCCTCCGTCGCGGCGCAGGTCGAGAACTTGGAGTTCATCTCGAACTTCGGCCTCACCTTCGCCGGCAAGTCGATCAACGCCGGCCTGCTCTCGGACTACAACGTCTGCGACGCCGACACCCTCAAGGTCACGTTCGACCTTGTCGGTGGTATGCGTGCCAAGTGGCGCAAGAAGCGCATGCGTCGCCTGCGTCGCAAGCGCCGAAAGATGCGCCAGCGCGCCAGATAAATGGCCGGCGCGCCAGACGTGGCGATCCCGCATCATTGACGGTGTCGACTTTTCGCTTGAAGACGCCGCCGCTGCCAACGACGCTCGCCGCCGGTAGCTTAGCCTTCCGATCCTTGTGTAACGAAGATTCTGCCACCATCAGTCAACCACAGTTGTTGCATCGAGATACGTGAGGCTAGCAATAGTAGCCGGATTGGATTAGCATGGACATGGAGCTACATCGGCACGTTGATTAGGCAGTTTTCGCCAGGAATGCAGTCGAGATGGCCTCCAGTGCCAACAAACTCGCCTGCTGCTCGGCCTTGATGACTTGCTCGAGGCCGGCGACCTTGGACTCTAGCTCCTGGACGCGTCGGGTGAGTGCCACGCGGTCCGTCTCCATGTATTCCTATGCAGTAGTTTGTAGAGACTTGGTAGACGCGATGGATACCCACCTGCCACTGGCGAAACTGGACGTTCTGGGCTCGCTCCATCTCGGCTTTCCATGCCTCCAGCGCCGCATCGGGCGGCGACGACCGCGGTAGCAAACCTACAATCACATCGCATTTCGTCACGAGCAGCAAGCGTACAGAGCGCAGAGGCGTCGAGGTCAGGCAGTGGTCGGCGCGGTGTTCCTAATGCAGCGGTCAGGATAGCCGTCGGTGGAAGAAGGCTCGTACGCAGCGCGGGCAGCTCTGCGTTGATGGCGGCAATCCGATCCGTGAGCTGGTCGAGTCGGGTCTATGGGGATCCTGAGAAGACTCTACTACAATCACATGGAGAGCGTACGTCGACGCGGGGCACGTGGCGTTCGAGGGCTTCGACCTTGACGCGCACGTCGTGCAGGCCAGCGTCCGTCTGCGTCGCGTCGTTAGGAGATGTATAACAAGCGCTCGTACGATGCAGCGCTGCTCGTGGCGCTCCATAAAGTCCGTCATGTTGGTCTCAAGAACGCTTGTCATGCTGGCCACGGTTTGCCGCACGATCCCCTCGACCTGTGCCACGCATGAATCCATATCTCATAACAGAAGGCAGACGCACGTCACTTGCAGTGCTCGCGCGGCTCATGGGCGAGCTCAAAGCCACGTCCTCGTCGTCTTTCTCGTCCGAGGCCGTCGTCGTTATGCTGCTAACGTTACTCGTCTTTGGCGACACTTTGGGAACGATCGCCGGGGAGATGATGCACTCAATGTCGGGCCGAACGCTTCCGATACACTCCTATCGTGCATGAATAGACTGTGGCCGTGCGTGGCCCGCCTACGAGGAGTTCGGAGAGGACGACGCGTGTCTTGGCGTCCATGATCGAGTTGTCTTCGCCCAGGCGCAGCTCCTTCAGCGTCGTGTGCGGGTTGTGCTCGATGGCCTGTTTGAGCGCTTGCAGGCCGTCCACTGTCAAGCAGCAGTTCTAATACCATACGTTGATGCACCATGTAATTGCAGAAAACACGCTGTTACCTCAATGTTGAGGCCCGTGAGCGACTCGCCCACGCGAGTCATCGACGACGAGATGACGTGGGCCATGGTCTCGAACCCCGCCGCCGTGATCGGGTTGTACCTACAGCACGTTCGTTGTTGATGGCAACTCCAAGCCATTCGATATATGGTCGTCGTACGAAATGTCGAGCGAGCAGAGGTGCGACGGCCGGCGCACCGAGAGCTCGTGGACCGACCTACGGACAGGGTGACGTGCGACGAGGCAAGTGCAAAGATTACGTGATTTTGTTGTGGCTCACGTTGAGGTGGCGGACGCCGATACCAAGGACAGACGCAAAGCCGGCGTTTGAAATACCGTTGTCGCGTAGGTCCAAGAGCTCCAGCGTGCCGAGAGGCTTTCTACGCTATGGTAACGAGAGGCGCAGGCATATATAATGTTCGCACCGGCGGTGGCTCTTCTTGTGCGGGTCAAATGCGTCGGCGATGGCACGGACGCCACCGTCGCCGAGGTTGTTGTGGCTGAGGACGAGGCTCACGAGGTGTCCACAGGACGCGAGGCTCTGGCCCAGAATGAGCCCCGCTACGTCGTCATTGGCACCGTCCCAAATCCAAGCCGTGTGTGAGTACCCTGTCGGGGGAGCTTGCACGACGTGAGATGGAGCACCTCGACGCGGTCGCAGAGCCCCGTGAGCGTCATGAGCGACGTCATGCTCAAGTCGCGGCATCCGTCGAGGCGCAGCTCGCGAAGCGACGCAATGTCTCGGAAGCAGCGAGCAAAAACGGGGACAACGCCCTCGGCGAAGACGCACTTGAGAAAGGCCACCGAGACGAGCGAGAGCATCGGCATGGCTACGCAGCAGCATGCTACGGCGATGCATCATCTCCAAGACGTACCAAGGAGCGTCGTTGCTAGCTTCTCGGTCGCATATTGGTCTAGCTCACAGTCGCGCAGCTCGAGCGCGTGAAAGGTGGGGTACTGCACGCTCGCAAAGGCCTTGGCGACCCCAGCAATCGTCGCATGACTCTAGACAGCGCTCGTGAGGACACGCTCGTCGTCGCGACGCACCAGGTGGCGGATCCAGCACGTGGCTCCGTCGGCGGTGATGCCGACGCTTTCTTCGGGCGACATGCGAGCTCTGTACTTTTGAGTGCACGTCGAAGCACTGTCAAATCTTCGATAAACGAACTTTTACGTGGCGTTTCGCGCTGCCACGTCATGCAATCACCCAAGCAAAGTGAAAGCGACGATGCGACCTCGTCGACGGAATGAGATTAGTTGGTGTTGCAATGAACTAATACTAATTACAACCACTCGGACGTCGACTCACGGACCGCGAGCGCCGACGGGCGGTTCTCCTCCATGGCGGCGACGCTGTTGCGACGGGGCGACGACGTGTTGACGGGGAACGTGGCTTCGATCGGGCGCGTCGTGCCCGTCGCGGGGGTAAAGAGATCATCCTTCTCCTCCATCGCCTGCTTGCGGCGGTAGACGACAAACACGACAGCAGCCACGCACGCGAGACCGCCGACGGCCGACAAGGTGGCCGTCACACCGACCGTCGCGTCGCTGCTGCCCGACGACTGGTTGCTGACCTCGACACCCGAGTCCTTCCCAGTCGCCGTCGCTGGGGCGCTGCCAGCCGCAGGGACCGCACCAGCTTCCGGCACGGCACCGGGCACCGTCTCGTCGCTGGAGCTAGGGAGCACGTTCGTGCTCTCAAGGACACCGGACTCGGAGATCGTGACGTTGAGCGCGCCGGCCTGCGATCCGCTGAAGACCGGGGTGGGCTCGCCGTCGTGGAGCTCCGTGGCGTTGCCAAGCGTCGTGTTGTGCGAAGGTTCGAGAGTCGTGGGAGTAGGCGTCGTTGTGTTCGTCGGCGACGGCGTCGATTCCTTCGTGGGCTCGCTCGTCGTGGGCTCCGGCGTCGGCTCCGGCGTCGGGGCGGGCGTCGGGGCGGGCGTCGGCGCAGGGGTCGGCGCGGGGGTTGGTGCAGGCGTCGGTGCAGGCGTCGGTGCAGGCGTCGGAGCCGGTGTAGGAGCCGACGTCGGCGATGGCATGTTAAACTTCCACTTGCCGTTCGAGTCGGCGAGACCAAAATGGCCTTCGAAGCCGCCCTTGACCGTCACGTCGTGGAACTGAAAGTAGAACGGAACGCCGCCGCCATTGCTCTGGGACCACGTCGCATACGCCTGGTAGTAGCTCAGCGCGTTGTCGTAGTTGGAGACGTGGTTGCCGTTGTTGCCACCTGCGGTGGGCCACCCCGTCTCCGTGAGCTTGGCCTTGCCGCCAAACGCCTTGACGACGTTGTTCCAGCGGGCGCTGAGGTCCGAGACCGGGTTGCTCACCGAGTTGGGCGACGCCCCAAAGAACGGGTAGATGTTGACACCGACAATGTCGCACACGGCCGCGAGCGACGGCGCGTTCAGAAAGTCGCCGTCGACCTGGACCGATCCGACGGGCACGTTGACGCCCGCGGACTGCAGCTTGCTCTTGACGTACGACACCTGCGCCGCGACCTGGCCCGCGCTCCAGCCATTGCTCAAGTCTTCGTTGCCGACGGTGACGCCAATGACGGTGCCCGGGTGCGCCTGGACGCCCGAAATGATGGACTGGATGTCGTTGTCGATCTGGCCTTGGCCAGACCGGAGCCAGACGCCAGCCATGAGCTTGAGGCCCGCCTTGGCGGCGACGCCGATCGGGTTGGGCGACGACCCGACGTGCGTCTGGTACATACGCACGGCCGAGAACTGCGACTTGATGGTCGCAAAGTGCGACGGCATTTGGTCGATCTGGTAAATGTCGTAGCAGACGCCGCCGTTGGCGTTGGCCATGCCCGTCGTCGTCTTGTTGGTGGCGACGGCGTCCGGGTTGGAGGACGCGACGACGGCGATGACCGCGCCAACCACGGCAAAGACCGAGAGCGCGCCGAGAAGCTTGCGGTACTTCTGCGGCGGCAGAGGCACGTTGGAAGGGAACGACACCATGGTCGTTAGGGTTTCGCTTTGGAAATGACGTCGAGAGGCGCCGGCCACGCTTCGAGTCGTCACGCTTGTATGCTGCGTGACTCACTCCCGCGCCGTAGAAGCTGCTCCGGCCTGGGGCATTTCATGCGACTCAACTGGGTCTTTGGGCAAAATCGTTTTTCCCGCGTCGATGTACGATGTCAAGTACGTGGGACAAATAGGAATGTCCCCCTTGAAAAATGGGTTTTTCAATTCCCATACAGGATGGACATGTGTAATATCGTAGAGTATGCGACATTGCACGTCGGAATCTGATGCGACCACCGCTTCTACGGTGGTCCGTAGCCGGCACAGTCGTAGTCGCTCACTCGCGTCGTTGGCACCGTTCTACGACAGCAGCGGCAGCGTACTAGACACGGATAATGCTCGGGCAACGCGCTTGAAGCTCTTAGCGCACTCCAAGGACCGCCCTTCCGATGGCCCTTCCTTGCGCGAATTGCTGGCACATTGGCACACTGTGGGTACATCAAATTTGGCGCCGTACCCTGCAGCAACGGGTGCGTGCCGGCATAAAACCGGAGGTATACACAAACGACATGGTGCCACGTCAGAGGCACCAACGCTACTGCGGTCTATCCAAATTGCCGTGGAGTGGCGCGATCGATCGATACTTACTACAAGCTGTGAAGCTGCTCCCAGAAACTCGCTTGGAAGCAAACACAAGTAGCTCTGCGCAGTCGCTCACCTGTCAAAACTTCCTCAACTCTGCACTCGACGGAGGCAGCGCTTTGAAGCCATACACAACACGTTAGAGCGAGCGTATCGGCTCGTTACTCGCTCGTGTTACGTCCGCTTGAACATTCAGTTGTGGCAAAAGGACATGCATTGTTCGGTCGACATTATTCGAGTCGAGTTGAAGCAGCGGAGTGCAGGAGCTCCGCTCTCAATGTTATGTACAATCACTGGGGCATGAAAAGGGTACAAGTTGTATTCAAAAAAGACTGGGACGCGTTGGCGCCACGATTGGTGTGCTAAATTAAGCCAATAATACCGGTCGCTTCTACAGAGCAATCCACTTTGAGATGGCCGACGCCAAGCGAACGGTCGCCAAGACGGACGAAGTCTCGCGCAACCAGATCTGGCGCGAGCACCTCAAGAAGGAGCTGCTCACCGAGGGGCCGTCGACGGCGTTTCAGTTCAACCCCAAAACACGTATGTATCGCATTGGCTTCCATCTCATGCGACGACTGCCACAGTGAGCTCCGTCGCGCCCAAGCCCACGTCGATGCAGCCATCGGATTTCACAGCGACGCATGCCACCAACGCAGCGCCCCCCAACGAGATAGGTACCATTATATATGTCTGCAGCACCCAGTTGGACGAATGTGCAGAAACCAAGGTGCGCCAAGGCATCAAGAACCCGCAAGAGCGGTCGGACGTGCCCAGCACCGAAGCCCAAAAGATTGGGTATCGCATCGCCATGCTTGTATCTTACCCTAACCTCGGTCGCCCAGGTGGGCCCACGACCAGGCATGGAAGAACGGGCGCGCCGAGACCAACAAGCGCTGGTACCGCGGCCGTGGCAGGTGCGCCTTCGCGTGCACGTCGTTGACACTCAGGCGGACGTAGCACGGACGTGACGGTGTTTGCAGAAAACTACTGCGCCATGGCGGGCTGCAGTCCATTCGCCGACAAGTCCACGCGCTAATCGTGTCAATATATTGTGGTATATTGGACTAGACCGTTGGCCCGTCTGGCAAGAATATAGATATATAAATGTAAATGCAGTCAATTGTCCTGGGACCGGGGTTTAAGTATCTACTGGTACGCCTACTCGGGGATAAGATCACGCGAGATCGTCATGGCTCATGCGTCGTCCGACGACGACACGGCCGGCGGCAGTGCGCTGAGCTGTGTTACGCTGGGCGTCTTGAGCAGTTGTGGAAGCATGCTCAGGGTGGGGAGCGCTTCGGGCTCGAAGCCATTGGCCGCCGCCTGCTCGTCGTAGGCCGCCAATTGGTTCTTGAGCTCTTGGATGTGCTGCAGAATGCCCCGTCGATGGCCCTTCTTGACGTTCATCTCAATCAAGTCGTCTTCGTCCATCGTCGCGACGCCCCGCAGCGTGTCAAAGCCGTCGCTCTCAAAGCTGTCCGTGTACTCACCGAGCTCGAGCTGCTGCAGCCAGTTGCGCACCGACCCGATATCTACCGCGTTCTCACATGCTGTACTCGAGCGGCGAATATACCTCGGTTCTGCTGCACTGGGGTTTTGGGCTTCTCGGGGGCCAAGTACTCGGCGTTGCCCTTCTCCCACGCCTACGCCGCGCATGCTGCACACCATCTTTGGCTACGGGGTAGTACCTGGAGCTGGGCGGCGAGGGCGCTATGGCCGCCTTCAAATGCACAGCGCGATGGCGTCTTGTCCGTCTAGAACCAATCGTGTGAACCAATACACTACAGAGGTCGTCTACCAGCGTCAGCGTCTTCCACTGGGTCGAGTCGCGAAAGTTCTTGATGAGCCAGAACGCGCAGTCCTTATGGCCCTTGAGCGCTGCCCAGTGCAGAGCGTTGCGCCCAAACTACAGAGTAAATGCAGAAGCCAGCGTGAAGCCACCCAGTACCTTGTCGACTTCGGTCCACTCGTCGAAACTCTCTGCCACGAGGCGCAAGCTCGAGAGGTGGCCCGTGCTCGCGGCCCAGTGCATGGCGTTCTTGCCGTTCTACATCATCATTGAGTTGATTTTCTGGCGACACGCAACTCGGTGGTACCTTGTCCCGGAGATGCCGCAGCGGGTACGCGCCGTTGACGTCGTTGATCACGCGCTTGATCGTGTCATCGTCGCCTTCCTCGGCGGCGTGGATCAAGAGCTACTCGCCACTTAAGTCTCCCAAGCAAGAGAACCACTACTCGTCTACCTGGGACGTCTCGTACCTTGAGGAATTGCATGCACTTGGTCTTGTACTTGTCTTTTGCTAGCTGGTACGCAGTGCGGTTGTCCTACGCACGCTGAGGATCGACGAGGTAAGGAGCCACGTACGTAGCTCGTGACGTGGATATCGATGCCGGCCATGCAGAGGTACTGGACGACCTCCTTTCGGCCTTTGGACGCGGCCCAGTGCAAGCACGTGCCTCCGTACTAAAGGCGCCGTCAGATGCCAGCGCCAAGCAAGAAGCAGACCTCGTCGATCGCGTTGATGTCGATGTGGTCGTCGCAGTCCTCGACGATGTATCGGATGACGTCCAAGTGGCCATTGAGCGCGGCCGCAATGTGCGGCAGTCGGCCAAACTACGCTGTCAGGTGAGTCGACTCGCATCGCATTGCAGGTCGGCGTACCTTGTCCTTGGCATCGAGCTGCACACCATGCTCGACGAGGATCTGGACGACTTCAAGGTGGCCGTAGAAGGCGGCGTAGTGAAGCGCTGTCTGGTCGCCCTAGTGTACCGCCTTGGCATGAGACGCGATCTCTCCGCAAAGGCGCACGTACATCGTCGACAACCGACGGGTCGATCTGCGGCGCATGCAAGAGCCATTGCACGACTTCGAGCTGGCCTGAGGCTGCGGCGGCGTGCAGCGGCGTGCACCCGTTCTAGGGCGCATGAGCCGGCGGCGCTGCGCCGGTACGTACCATGTTGCGGTAGTTGACGTCGACCGCAATGTCCTGGACGAGGTACACGACCTCCTGCAGCTTGCCGCGGTGGGCCTTCCGGATGAGGATGTCGCCCGTCGTGTAGCGCTCCATCATGCTCCGTCGTGACGATCCGACTCTGGCTGCCCACTAGCTCTGCCTCGACATATCATATCTGAGAGGTTTATTAATTTACGCGGCAGGAAAACCGTCCGACAGCGCTGTGTTTTTATGTCGGCGCCGCATCCCCATATATAAGTATCAAAGTGATATTCATTCTCACAGGGTATGTGGGCCAACGGTATTTCGAACCCACAGCAACGGTCGCATCACAGAGACACACGAGGACGACGAGATTAGATGGCCGTCGTCGTTGTCGCCGTCGATGGCGGCGCCACATCCCCGGCATGGAGCGCCGTGTCTTCCCACTCCTACGCACGTCGCATAGGCATCGTCGTCGTTGCAAGTGCCACTACCTGCAGCTGCGCGGCGAGTGCGGTGTGCCCCGCATCCAAGGCGCAGCGCGCCGGCGTCTTGTTCGTCTATCGCCGCGTCAGCGCCCTATTGTAAGATACAACGTACAAGCGATGGCACCATGAGCGCCTTGGCTTCGCCGGTGTAGTGCTGCGTGAGCCAGAGCGCGCACTCGGCGTGGCCACCCAGCGCTGCCCAGTGCAGCGCATTGCGCCCAAACTTGACGCCACATCCATCCTCGTATAGAGCAAGCACGAACCTTGTCGAGGTCGGTCCACGAATCGAAATTTTCCGCGAGGATGCGCAAGGTCGGGAGGCGGCCCGCGCTTGCAGCCCAGTGCATTGCGTGTCGCCCGTTCTATGCACCGTGAAAAAGCCGCAGGCAACGCGGAGCATTACCTTGTCTTTGAGAAAGCGAAGCGGATAGGCGCCAGCGACGTCGTGGATGACCCGCTTGACCTCGTCGTCGTTGCCCGTCTCGGCGGCTTGCAGCAGTCGCTACCGCTTGCGTCGCATCCTCGCGTAGAGTTGGTGAGGCGGAGCCTACCTGCGCGACCTCGAACCAGCGCTTGATGACGTTTTGGCACTTGGCCTGCCCCTTGTCCTTGGCCAACTGGTACGCCGTGCGATTGTCCTAGTGCGCCCGACGTATCACGATGGGCACGGACCGATCCGACGACGTACGTAGCTCGTCACGTGGGCGTCGACGCCGACGTGGAGGAGGAACTCGACGACGTCGCGCCGACCGTGGGCCGCGGCCCAGTGCAGACTCGTCGCGCCATACTACGCAGCGCCGTGCGTGAGGCTACGAGTCGGACGTCGCCGACCTCGTCAATCGTGTTGCGCTCGATCGGCAGTGGGCAGTCTTGCAGGAGGAAGCGGACGACGTCGACGTGGCCGTTGATCGCGGCGCCGACGTGCGGTAGCCGCCCCGTCTACGTGGCATCGCATAATCTCACATCCGAAGGCGCGAAACGTCTACCTTGTCCTTGATGTGCAATGGCACGCAGTGGTCCAAGAGCACTTGTACAACGGGCAGATGGCCGTAAAAGGCAGCGTAATGGATGGCGCTTTGCGCGTTCTACGAGCGCAGGATGAGCAGGAAGAGACGACATGCAGGGTACGTACGTGGTCGAGGAGGTTGGGGCGGATACCCTGGTACGAGAGGAGCCACTTGACGACGTCGAGCTGGCCAGCCGCCGACGCCATGTGCAGCGCCGTGCAGCCCGTCTAACGCAGTGGTTGCCGACGATCGTCGTCCGTGGCGGGCGTACCTCGTCGCGGTAGTTGACGTCGACGTACACCTCTTGGACGAGGTACTTGATCTCTTGGAGCTGGCCGCGGTGGGCCTTCCGCAGGAGCACGTCGCCCGTCGTGTAGCGGAGCATGGCAATATGCACTTGTAGAGGTTTCCGCGCCAATCGCATGTGATTATAGAGGGATTGACAATTGACGTGGCAGAGGCAGCGACCAGCACGCAGCGACCAGAGTCAAGGGACATGCACCGATCAAGAAGCTCGTGCTCGCCTGTGGCTAACGCTCTTGTGTGTGCGTCCGACGCGTGAGCGGTCTTGCGCCGACTCGACCAGCTGCCCCTCAGCGGGATTGCTGTCAACGGCGCGTGTAACCAGAGTCTATACCACCCACACGGGCACGCTGGCGTGACAATTCATTTGGCCATGCTCGAGTCGCTGCCATCATTGGTGTGGGCGGCCTACCTCGCGCCGTGTCTGGCGCTGCACGAGGTGCTCACCTGCGCGAGCTTGAGCAAGGCGTTGCGTCGCACATTGCACGACGACGTGACGCTGGCCCACCCCGTCGAGCTCGCGGGCTCGGTCGACGAGCTCGCAGCGGTGCTGCAGCAATGGCCGAACTTGCGCCACGTGTGCTTCAAGCCGTTTATCCGCCTCCAAGCTCCGTACAACGAGTCGATCTACAACCTCCACCGTACCGAGGTATGCCAATCCTCCTTCCTCTCTCTACATTCTATCAACGGTGTCGCAGGCGCCAGAGGAAGAGCTCGACATCGAGGCTCGTATCGACGGACTGGTGCGCAACGCGCTCACGCAGAGCGCACGCATGACGCGTCTCAACGCTGTATTGGCCGAGTCTCTTGACGACGTCGTCGACCAGCTGCACACACTCGACCTCAGCGGCACAGTTGGTGTCCAGCTCTTCCACGGTAGTCTGAACTGGCGCTGCGGCTGCTCATGGGACGTGCACTTGAGGTATCCATCGGCTCTCGCACGTCAATCTCAGCGGCTGCGCGGGCATCCACGGCCTCGAGCACGTGCAGACGCTGCCGTCCATCGATCTTAGCTACTGCCACGACGTCCGAGACGTCCACTGGCTCGCGCGCGTGGTAGGCTGCAACATGTCGACTCGGTCGACTGCACATAATGTGCCCTAGGCCCATGTCGACTTGAGCTACTGCCACAGTCTCCGTGACGTGGCACCACTGGCGCACGCCACGTCGGTCTGCCTCAACCTGTGCAAACTCGTGAGGTAACGAGGGGCGCATATCTCTATGACACACGACACCGCTTTCGACTAGCGACGTCAGCGCCCTCGAGAAGGTGCACACACTCAGCTTGCGCAACTGCCCGCGCATCCGTGACGTCTCGAGTCTCGGCCACGTGCACACGCTTGTCCTTAGCGGCTGTAAGCTCGTGACCGACGTCTCGCCACTCACGCACGTGCACACGCTACACCTGAGGTACCCACCGCTGCTCGCAACCTGGTCTGCATTCTTGCCTCGCAGTGGGCTCGACGTGTCGGACGTCTCGGCACTCGGCGACTGCTTCGAGCTCAATCTTCGCAAGTGCCCCAACGTCGTCGACGTCTCTGCCCTCGGTATGACCTCAACCTAAGATGCAGCACATATAGCATGGCTCGCTGCAGGGCGCGTCGCGCGCTTGGACTTGAGCGGTTGCGCTGGCATCACCGACGTCTCTGCGCTGGGCCATGTCCACACCCTCAACCTCTCTGCCTGTACGGTGATTGCGTGGACAGAGAGATGCAACCGCCTTGCGTAGGCAGCCATCTCACGGACGTCTCAGCGCTGCTTTGCGTCACCCACTTGACGCTGAGCAACTGCGACGCGTTAACCGACGTCGCGGCGTTGGGTCGTTCGGTGACGCTCCAGTCGCTGGACATATCCAACTGCAAGCGCATCTTGGACATTTCGGCGCTTGGCCAGATCCCGACGCTCAACATTAGCCGCTGCCACGGCGTGACATCGCTGCGTGGTTTGGCCAGTGTCACGCACCTCGACATGAGCTTCTGCCGCCACCTCGAGGACCTGAGTCCGCTAACTTGCATCCAGGTGCGGTCGTCTTGGTCCAAGGGCGGACTGTATATCCTGCAAGTAGGTGCTCAACGCGTACCGCTGTCCTCGTGTGAAGGACCTGTCGCCGCTGCGGCACGCCCGCAAGGTCAACTTGAGCTGCTGCAAAGGCGTCACGGACGTTGCACCGCTGCGCCGTTGCCGCGACGTCGACTTGCGTTTCTGTGACGCGCTTCAGGACGTCTCGCCTCTCGGCGACGTCCATACGCTCAAGCTCGCGGGTTGCCAGCGCGTCATTGACGTCTCTGCCTTGGGCGGCGTCGAGCACTTGGATTTGAGCTACTGCCACGGCATCTCGGACGTCGCGGGCCTCGGCACCGTGCACTCGCTCAGTTTGCGCAATTGCGCAAGCATCGCCGACGTCTCGGGCCTCGGCGGGTGCTACTCGTTGAACCTCAGCGGCTGTGAACAGGTGTGTTGACGCAGCAGCATCGATGCGTGACGTCAATGTAGGTCACAGACGTCGGCGCGCTCGGCCGCGTGTCCATTTTGAACTTGAGCGACTGCCAGGGCGTGCGCGACGTCAGCATGCTGCAGCGCGTGCGGTGGCTCGACCTGCGCTTCTGTGCGAATGCGCGAGGCGTCGCGGCGCTCCAGGGCCACGTGCGCACGCTCCACCTCCAAGGCTGCGCCACCAACAAGCCGTAAAGATACCTGGCTCGCCATGTGGCACTGGATTTCTCAACACCTGTTTTCTGGATTTTTACCACTTTCTGTCTACATGCGCTGCTCCTGCTGCGCGTCGTGCTGGTGCGCGAGGAGCTCCAGCTTGTTAAAGTACTGCTGCACCGCGTCCGCAACCTGCCGGCCTTCGTGGATCGCCCAGACGACGAGGGACTGGCCTCGGCGGCAGTCGCCAGCCGCGAACACACCTAGATTCGGATCAGATACCGCGTTTCGTTGACGACCAGAGTGGGACCTGGCATCGACGTGGCATAGTGGCCGTCGGTGGCAATGTTCTTGCGGCCATCAATCGCGAGGTCCAGCGTCGACGGCAGCGCCTGGTCCGGGTGCAGAAAGCCCATGGCGAGGATCGCCAAGTCGCACGGCAGCTCCTCTTCGGTCCCTGGCACCGTGTCAAAGCCGCCCGCCGCATTGCGCGTCGCCATAGCCGTCACCACGTGCGTCACTCGACCGGACGCGTTGCCGCGGAAGCGCAGCGTCGTCCGGCTGTAGGCGCGCGGGTCCGTCCCAAACACCTCCTCGGCTTCTTCGTGGCCGTAGTCGGCGTGGTACACCCGCGGGTACTGCGGCCACGGGTTCGAGGCTGCCCGCGTCGCCGGCGGCTTGGGGTTGTGCTCGAGGTTCGTGATGCTCTTGCACTGCTGGCGCAGTGACGTTGCAACTAGAATATTGTCCTTCGATGCATTCCAGTGTACAACTCTGGACATACTGCAGTCGGTGCCCGTGTCGCCGCCGCCAATCACGACAACGTGCTTGCCTTCCGCGCTGATGTAGTCCTTGTGCCACTTGCTCTTCAGCGTGCCTTCTTTCGTCGCGAGGAGCCGCTTCTGGTTGCGCGTCAGGAATTCCATCGCAAAGTGAATCTGCCAGCCATCATTAACGTCACTCATATCGTAATTGACGAAGGGACGTACGCCGCCCAAGTTGGCACCTTCGACCGTGAGGAAGCGGGGTACCGTCGAGCCCGTCGCGAGAACGACCGCGTCCATCTACACGTCAGCGTATACGTCGATGCCCACGGGATCTAGAATGGACATACATCGTCCATGAGACTCTGAATGTTGTCGCCGACGTGGACGCTCGTGCGAAACTCAATGCCTTCCTTCGCGAGCATGTCGACGCGGCGGTCGACGTCCGACTTGTCGAGCTACATGTTGTGTGTTTTGAGTTGAGAGATCTTTTGAGAAGATGCTACCTTCATGTTGGGGATGCCGTACATGAGGAGTCCGCCGATGCGGTCGGCCTTCTCAAAGACGACGACCGAGTGGCCGAGCTGGTTGAGCTGGTCGGCGGCGGCGAGGCCCGCGGGTCCCGAGCCCACGATGCCGACCTTGAGCCCCGTGCGCTGCGCCGGCACGCGCGGGACGATCCAGCCTTCGTCCCACGCGCGCTCGACGATCGCGTGCTCGACGTTCTTGATCGTGACGGGGTTGTCAATGACACCGAGGACGCACGCGCCTTCGCACGGCGCGGGGCAGACGCGCCCTGTAAACTCGGGAAAGTTGTTGGTCGCACTCAGCCGCGAGTACGCTTCGCGCCACTCGTCGCGGACAACCAAGGCGTTCCACTCGGGAATCAAGTTGGCGACCGGGCAGCCCGAGAGCGACCGCGACTGGCAGAACGGCGTGCCGCAGTCCATGCAGCGGGCCGCTTGGTTCGTGCGCTCGGTCGGGTCGCGGTCGTGGGTGTAGATCTCGTTCCAGTCGTGGACGCGGGCTTTGGCCGGGCGGTAGGCGTCGGGCGACCGGGTGACGTCGAGGAAGGGCTTGGCGCTCAAGGCGCGCGCCGAAAGCCGCGTCAGGAGCGACTTGGTCGTGGCAGGCAGTGGGCGTAGCATGGCGAATCGGTCTATGCTCCCGATCTTAGTTTGCACTTCTGGTCAACCGCAATCGTACACGCCGTACATTCCAATGTACGGCATGTACGATCTTTGGCACGTTCGAATTGAATGCACTTGGCATTTGTATGACGTTGAAGCCACTCGGTATAAAAGACGTACATCGAAGTTGCGTGTTGACGAAACCCAGGGATCTGATTGGCCAAACCATAAACACGCCTTCTGATTGGCCGATGAGCAGAAAGATACGCTGTTCCGACGTCGCGTGCCAATAACGTTCTTCGTTCTTGTGGTCGGCGGCGGATCTCTACGCCCGCGCGTCAACAGCCACGTCGATCATTTCCCAAGATGCTCCGTTGGTCTCATGGCCGCGCGCTCCTGCGCAAGCCGCCCATGACCTGGACGCGGCCCAACTCGTACTCGCACTTTCGCCAGCCGTCGACGACGACCACGAATTCGCTCTACGCCAAGCACCTCGAGAAGGACTCGTGCGGCGTCGGCCTTCTCGCCCACCTCAAGAAGCAGCCGTCGCGCAAGGTCGTCGTCGAAGCCAACGATATGCTCGTGCGCATGAGCCATCGCGGCGGCTGCGGCTGCGACCCGGCCTCCGGCGACGGCGCTGGCATGCTCGTCGGCATGCCGCACTCGTTTATGGGCCGCGTCGCCCGCGAGGGCCAATTTGGCGCGCCGCTCACGCAGCCGCTCACGCCCGAGCGCTACGCGGTCGGCAACATCTTCTTCCGCAAGGACCGTGACGTGGCGAGCAGCAAGGCGCAGTTTGACGCGCTCGCGGAAGAACTCAACTTGGCGTCCTTGGGCTGGCGCGTCGTGCCGACGGTCAACGATGCACTCGGTGCGACGTCCAAGGCGTCCGAGCCGCACATTGAGCAAGTGCTCGTCGTGCCACCCGAGTCCATGTCAACGTCGGACTTTGAGAAGGAGCTGCTCCGGTACCCAGATATTGTGGTACGCCAAACAGATGGAGGCTGATCCGGATCTAGGTTGCGTGTCGTGGGCACGGCTCGGAACGAAGCCAGCGAGATGTATGTGTGCTCGCTCTCCAACCAAACGATCACGTACAAGGGCCAGCTCACGCCGTCCCAGCTCCTCCCATATTACAAGGACCTCCAGGTATGCCCTTTTCATGAAATTTCTGAAAAATCTAAAAAATCTGAAAACTCTGCTAGACGGACGACTTTGCGTCGCACGTCGCGATGGTGCACTCGCGCTTCAGCACCAACACGTTCCCGTCCTGGGACCGCGCGCAGCCCAACCGCGTCATGTGCCACAACGGCGAAATCAACACGCTCCGCGGCAACAAGAACTGGATGTTTGCGCGCGGCTCCAAGGCCCACAACACGTACTTTGGCCAAGCCACCGCGTCGCTTCTGCCCGTCTGCTCGGACGGCATGAGCGACTCGGGCAACTTTGACTCGGCGCTCGAGCTCCTCACCAAGGCCAGCTCGTGCGACCGCACGCTGCCGGAAACCATGATGATGATGATCCCGGAGGCGTGGCAGAACAACCCGCACCTCTCGCCCGAGAAGCGCGCCATGTACCAGTACAACGCCTGCCTCATGGAGCCCTGGGACGGCCCGGCCATGATTGCATTCTGCGACGGTATCTCATATTGTCCAACCTCGGATGTCTGACGCTGGACGATGCAGGCAAGTCGGTCGGCGCGTCGCTCGACCGTAATGGTCTCCGTCCGTCGCGCTACTATGTGACGAAGGATGGCCACGTGGCGCTGTCAAGCGAGGTGGGCGTCCTCGAAGACCTGGCCGACGCCGACGTGGTCTCGAAACACCGGCTCGAGCCCGGCAAGATGTTTTACGTGGATTTCGACCAAGGCCGCATCGTCTCGGACGAAGAGGTAATATACCATGCATCCAGTCGTACAGGGTTCGAGCCTCGTCGTAGATCAAGAAGCAAGTCGCGACGAGCCGGCCGTTTGGCGAGTGGGTCCAGAAGCACATGGTGTCGCTGCAGTCGCTGCCCGTGGCGTCGCCGCTGGCGCCGACGCGCGTCTCCAAAGACGCCCTTCGGCGCCTCACCATGTTTGGGTACGTCAATCGGATGTTTTTCTTGCTGATGTGAGCGCCGCGTGTAGCTTCACAACCGAGACGATGGACATGCTGCTCATGCCGATGGGGCTCAACCACAAGGAGCCGCTCGGCTCCATGGGCAACGACGCGCCGCTCGCCGTGCTCTCGGAGCTTCCGAAAGCGCCGTCCGAGTACTTTAAGCAGCTCTTCGCCCAAGTGACCAACCCGCCGATTGACCCGATCCGCGAAGAGCTCGTCATGAGTCTGCAGTGCCCCGTCGGACCGGAAGAAAACATTTTGGACGCAACGCCCCAGCACGCATCACGGTACACTGAGCACCCTTTTCTGTCGCCTCGTCTTGATACATTGATATGCAGGCTCATTGTCGAGACGCTGGACGACGTGCACAAGCTCAAGACGACGACGCACCCGAAATGGGCCGCCACGACGCTCGATGCCACCTTTGCCGTCAACAGCGGTCCCCGCGGGCTCGCCGATGCCCTCGACCGGCTCTGCGAAGACGCGACAACCGCCGTGCGTCCATCGTCATCTCAGCTTGTGTTTGGCTCATCTCCACCTCTCGCTCTAGGTGGCGCAAGGCAAGTCGGCGCTGCTCTTTTCGGATGTACGCGCGGGCGACGGGCGGCTTCCGATCCCGTCGCTCCTCGTTGTCGGCGCCGTGCACCAGCACCTTTTGCAGACGCAGCAACGCACGTCGGTCGCGCTCTTTGTTGAGGCGGGGGATGCCAAGGAGGTCCACGACTTTGCGACACTGCTCGGGTACGTACTTGATACATTGAAAGATGACGCGATCGAGATTTGCCTAGCTTTGGCGCCGACGCCGTGTGCCCCCACATGGCGTACGAAGCCCTCGCCCACATGAAGGACGAAGGGCTGCTCAAGGCCTACGCCAAGCGCGACGTAGGCTCCGAGACATTGTCAATTGACTCGCTCAATCTCACGGTGATAGATGTCGAACGAAGAGCTCCAGCTCAACTACCAAACCGCGATCGGAAAGGGCCTGCTCAAGGTCATGTCCAAGATGGGCATCTCGACGCTTCAGTCGTACAAGGGCGCGCAGGTGTTTGAGGCCGTCGGTCTTGGGCCGGACGTGATCAGCCGCTGCTTCAAGGGCACGACGTCCCGCCTCCAAGGTCGATTTTATCTCATCGGAGATCGACTATTTGTGCCAATGACGACGACGCTGTAGGCAGCGACCTCTCGATCCTCTACGACGACGTGGCCACGCTCCACTCGCTCGCGTACGCACCGAACGCGCATGGTCTCCGCAACCCGGGGCAGTACCACGCGCGCGAAGGCGGCGAAGTGCACTTCAATTCGCCGGCGTCGATCGTCGCGCTGCAGATGGCCGCGCGGGAAAACTCGCGGGAGGCATACAACACGTACCGTGATGCGACGGTCGCCGCTGCACGGTGCGTTCGACGACCTCTGTCGTTTCAGCCCACTGAGTCGGTGATGTGGTGTAGCAAGGTGACGCTGCGTGGGCTCTTGGACTTCAACACGGTGCCCGCGGACGAAATGCCATCGCTGGCCGAGATGGAGCCCGTCTCGGAGATTGTCAAGCGCTTCAACACGGGTACGTACCTAGTGTCAACGTATCAACGTATCGAGTGGAAACAACAATCCTAGGCGCCATGTCGCTCGGCTCGATCTCCCAAGAGACGCACGAAGCGCTGGCCGAAGCGATGAACCGTCTCGGTGGGCGCTCCAACACGGGCGAAGGCGGCGAGGACCCGCGTCGGTACGCTCCCGAGGTACGAAATACTATATTTTTGATGGACAAGACGGTGGCTGACATGGACGGTGCAGAACGGCAAGCCCAACAAGAAGCGGTCTGCGATCAAGCAGGTCGCGAGTGGCCGCTTTGGCGTCACGATGGACTACCTCACGAACGCGGACCAGCTCCAGATCAAGATGGCGCAGGGCGCCAAGCCTGGCGAGGGCGGCGAGCTGCCGGGCCACAAGGTCTCGGACTACATTGCTGCGCGCCGCCACACGACGCCTGGCGTCGGTCTCATCTCGCCTCCGGTACATCCCGGCCGCGTGCCCCGAAGTATCTTCTTATCGTGCTTGTAGCCGCACCATGACATTTACTCGATCGAAGACTTGGCGCAGCTCATCCACGACCTCAAGAACGCTAACCCCGTCGCCGAGATCAGCGTCAAGCTCGTGTCGGAAGTCGGCGTCGGCGTCGTTGCCGCCGGTGTTGCCAAGGCCAAGGCCGAGCACATCACGATCAGTGGCCACGACGGTACACATCGTGCGATGCTCTTGCAACTGGAGAACGGAGGATGGACGATAGGTGGCACGGGTGCATCGTCCTGGACCGGCGTCAAGCACGGTGGTCTTCCGTGGGAACTCGGTCTCGCTGAAGCCCAGCAGACGCTTGTCCTCAACAACCTCCGGTACCTGGAATCAAATCAACCTGGACGCAGCGTTCTGACACGTATCGATGTAGCTCCCGCGTCAAGCTGCAGACGGACGGACAGCTCAAGACGGGCCGTGACGTGGTGATTGCAGCGCTCCTCGGCGCCGAAGAGTTTGGCTTTGCGACCGCGCCGCTCATTGCGCTCGGCTGCATCATGATGCGCAAGTGCCACCTCAACACGTGCCCCGTCGGCGTCGCGACGCAGGACCCGGAGCTACGCAAGAAGTTTGCCGGTACCCCGGAGCACGTGGTCAACTTTCTCTGGCTCCTCGCCGAAGAAGTGCAAGAGATTGTGCGGTCGCTCGGCGCCACGTCCCTCGACGAGCTCGTGGGGCGCGCCGACTTGCTGCACGTCGACCCTTCCGCGCTCCACAACAAGACGTACAGTACAACGGACGTCTCTGGTTCTCTTCTCACACCTCCGTTTGCTCTAGCGCGCTCCTGGATTTTGGCCCGCTCCTCGTCAACGCACAGACGCTCAACCCGGACAGCGCCGTGCGCTACAACCCCGCCCACCAGCAAGACCACGGGTACGACGAGCGGTCGCGTCGCGAGATGCTGATGAACCGTTGGGTCTTTTTTAGTCTGGACCAGATCCTCGACCAAACGTTGCTTAAAGCGTGCGAGCATGCGATCCATGACGGCACGCCCGTCACGGTGCACCTCCCGATCTCGAACGTCAACCGCACAGTGGGCACGCTCCTCTCCCACACCATCACGTCCAAGTACGGCGCGGCGGGTATGCTCCTCGTTTTTTCTCGTATTTTTTCTGATTTGCACGGGGATTAGGGTTGCCTCATGGCACGATCGCGCTGCACTTGACAGGGCATGCCGGTCAGTCGCTCGGCTTTGGCTTGTGCCCCGGTGTCCTCCTGCACGTACACGGCGATGCCAACGACTATGTCGGCAAGTCGCTCAGCGGCGGCACCATCGTCGTCGCCCCGTCCGAGACCATGTTGCGTAAGTCGCCTTCTTGCCTCCTTGTGCCCCATGGACACGTTGTTGTCTTGTAGACGGTCAGACGATTGCCGGCAACGCTGTGCTCTATGGTGGCACCAGCGGCACCGCGTTCTTCGCCGGCAAGGCGGGCGAGCGCTTCGCGGTGCGCAACTCTGGTGTCGATGCGGTCGTCGAAGGCGTCGGGTACATCCTCTTCCGTCTCTTGTCTTGCCGTTTGTGGCTGACGCGGCGATAGGGACCACGGCTGCGAGTACATGACGGGCGGCCACGTGGTCGTGCTGGGCCCCACGGGGCGCAACTTTGGCGCGGGCATGTCGGGTGGCATCGCGTACGTGTACGACCCGACGGCGTCGCTGTCGCCCAAGTGCAACCTCGCCATGATCGACCTCGAGCCGCTCAACATGCACGACGACGACCGCGTCCACGCCCTCCTCACGCAGCATGTGGCCCACACGGGGTCGCCCATGGCGCGGCGCGTCCTCGACGACTGGTCGAACGCCAAGCACGCGTTCATCAAGGTGATGCCAGAGGACTACAAGGCCGTCCTCGCGGCGACGCCGGTCCTATCGCCGACGACGCCGGCGTCGCTGCCCCAACAGCTGCAGCTCTAATAGCTAGTTCATATATCTACATCGATAGTCGCGTGTCGAATAACCGGTGGGATATTTTTAAACGCGCTTGTCGCTGCGTGTGGAAAGGCCGTCGTCGTATGGCCTCGGTCCAGCCCGCGAGTCTCGGCGCCTTGGTCGTGGCGCTCGAGGCGAAGCGCCGGGCGCGGCCGTCGCACCCGCTGCGCCGGTTCTGCTACCGCCTTGCGACGTCGCCGTGGTTTGACCGCGTCAGCGTCGTCGTCGTGCTCACCAACACGGTCGTGCTCGGGCTCGTCGACTACTCGAGTCCGTGGGCGACGGGTCCCAACATGCTGCTGCCGGCCAACGTCTTTATCGAGCGCGTCAACAACATCTCGCTCGTCCTCTTCGTCGTCGAAGCGCTCATCAAAGCATTCGCGTTTGGCGTCTTCAAGTACCTCGGCGACCACTGGAACAAGCTCGATCTGATCGTCATCATCTCCGGGTTCGCTCTAGTAAGCACTGCATACTTCTCTCACACTCGTTCTCGTGCTAGCATCGTCGCGTGGGCGTCGGGCGGTCGCAGCGCGGTGGGCCAGCTGCGCATTCTGCGCGTGCTCCGACCGCTCCGCACGCTGCGAGCGTTTCCCGGTAGCAGAATCGAGATGGCACGTGACGCTGAACGCTTCGGTAGGCCTGCGCATCCTCGTCAATGGCGTCCTCGCGAGCCTGCCGCCGCTCCTCAACGCCGGGATGCTTCTCGGGTTCAGCTACCTCACGCTCGCGATCCTCGGCATGGAGCTGTGGCAAGACAAGTACCACGGGCGGTGTCGACTCACGCCGTATCCTGTGCGACTCAACTTTGACCCGCTGCACGCGCCGACCTCGGTCGCGAGTGGCGTCTACCCCAACGCGTCGTACGTGGCCGCTGTCACGCTTGACCCGTCCGCGTACAAGTGCAACAACCTCTCCAACAGCGACGTGTGGCGAGCGCCGACGCCGTGTTTTTGGCCACTCGACCCGACCGACACGCTCGGGCTGTACTGCGGCAGCCGCACGTGTCCGACACCCAACACCACCTGCGGCTCCAACTACGACCGGCTCGGCAACCCGCGCTTTCTGAATTTCTTCTCGGACGGCGCGCTGGTCTTTGACCTCATGGGCGAGCCAGACTTTACGGCCAACCTCAACTTTGGCCTCACCTCCTTTGACAATATCTGGAGTGCGCTCGTGATAGTGCTGCAGATCGTGACTGCGTCCGGATGGATGGTGCTCACGCAAAATGTACGTCAACCTCTTGAACGTCTCGTGCTCATGGGCGCTTTAGACCCAAGATGCGTATTCGTGGGTCGTCGCCGGAGTCTACTTTAACGCGTTTCTCTTCATCGGCATGTGCTTCCTCCTCCAGCTCTTCATGGCGGTCCTCTACACCGAGTTTGAGAAGGCAAAAACCAACCAAGAGCGCCAGCTCGAGTCGCATACCGTCATTGCCCGGCCGACCAAGTACATTCATCCAAAGTGCCTCGTCGCATGTAAAATGGCGTGTTTTTAGAGTCATGGACGCGGCGGCCATGCGGCGTGTCGAGGCGCACCTCTCGGTGACAACGGCGTCGTCGACGCGGATTTGGTACCGCATTCGGTTCCAAACGATGCACTTGGTCGGCTCGCGCGCCTTTCATCGCTTGGGGCTTGCGGTGACGACGCTCAATGTGACGGTGCTTTCGTGCAACGCGCACGGCATGTCGGCGACGACGCAATATTGGATTGAAACACTCAACTTTTTCTGCCTCGTCTACTACATCCTCGAGACGCTCCTCAAAATGGTGGCGGCCGGCCCGTGGCGCTACTTTCGGTACGATGGCGTCCGTCGTGCACGTGTAACCGTTGGGTTAGGGACGGTTTTAACCGGTTTGACTTTGTCACGATCGCCCTTGGCATCCTCGACACGGTCGCGAACCCGCCCGAGATTGTCGACGGCAACCCGGGGCGCGTCTCGCCGTTCGCAGCCTTGCGCGCGCTCCGCGCCATCAAAATCGCCAAGTCGATCAAGCCATTGCATCGCCTTTTGGTCGCTATCATGGACGCGTCGAGCGAGATTGGGAACTTCCTTGTGTTTCTGTTTTTGTTTATTTACATTTACGCGCTCATTGGCATCGAGCTCTTTGCGACGCGCCTCCAGTTTGACAGCAGCAACCGCCCGCTCCCGTTTAACGGCACGCATCCCATGTACCAGTCGCGCTCCAACTTTGACCAGATCGAGTGGGCCGTCTTTAGCGTCTTCCAGATCATGACGTACGACAACTGGCCGGCGGTAATCACCCATTCTACTACATCCATTTACAACAATGATGTCTAGGCACTCTACAATGGGTGGCTCGTCGCGGGCTGGCTCGGCGTGCTCTACTTTTGCTCGATCATCGTGCTCGGCGTCTGGGTCGTCATGAATGTCTTCTCGGCCATCCTCGTCGAGTCGGTCATGGCCGGCACCAGCGCCCAATCGACCGACGACGACGACGACGATGTAGAGTCGGACTTGGACGACTTGGCCCCCGACCTCGCGGTCCTGCACCGCGCTTACACGATGCGGGTACGACGGCCTCGACCGTCTTCTTGTGTTTGTGACGTTCATGCTGTAGAGCCGCTCGCTCCGTCGCATCTTTCGAAAGGCGCTTCACGCGATCAACCTGCCGCAAATTGCGCCGGCGCCGTCCGTTGTGGACTTGCATGGACCTCCAACGACCGCGGTGCAGGTGACGCACGTGTCGTGGCCGCGGCGCGCCGCCCGCCGCCTCGTCTCGCACCGGTTTTGGGACCGCAGCGTGACGCTCATCATCTTTGTTTCGTGCGTTCTAACCGCGCTGGACTCGCCGCTTCTCGACACGCACCAAGGCTTGGGCTACGGGATCGAGAAGGCCAACATGGTGTTCGCCGTCGTCTTCTCGATCGAAATGGCGCTGCACCTATTCGCGCACGGCGTGATCGCGTACCTCCGAGACCCGTGGTCGGTCTTGGACGGCTTCATCGTGCTCGTGTCGCTCCTCTCGTGGGCGCTCGGCTCGAGCGTCATCTCGAGCTTGCGCGCCTTGCGGTCGCTCCGCGCGCTCCGGCCGCTCCGCGTCATCAACAAGATGCCGCAGCTCAAGGTCGTCGTCAACACGCTCTTCCGGTGCCTCCCCGAGATCGGCAAGGCGTTCATCTTCTTCCTCTTCATTTTGCTCATCTTTGGCATCATGACCGTCATGTTTTTCCGCGGCGCGCTCGCGTCCTGCAGCACGAGCCCGTACACGTACATGACGAGCGAGACGCCGCCGCCATGGTACGCTCTCTACCTCGCTCGTTCGTTGGTTTGGATTGCGCGTACGCTCTTGTTGCATTTCGTAGGTTCCCGCGTGACTATCGTGGCAGCTACAACGCCTCGGACTTGGCGCAATACGATCTCATGTCGTATCCGCGTCCGTGGACCAGCCTCTCGTCGTCCGCCCAAGCTCAAATGGCTGATGTGTGGCCCCAGATTCGTTGCAACGACCACAGCTGCGACGTGCACGAGACGCCGACGTCGCGCGCTGTCTGCGAAGCCTTCAATTGCACGTGGACCAACGTCGTGCCGCAGCGCTTCGACAACATCTTCCTCGCCATGGGCTCGCTCTACGAGCTCACGACGATGGAGGGCTGGGCGGCGGTGGCCATTGCCAGCGTCGATGCAACCGGCGCCGACATGCAGCCGATCAAGAACACGAATCCGGCGATGCTCTTCTTTTGGATCTTCTTTATGATTGCCGGCGCGTTCTTCATCACCAACCTCTTCATCGCCGTGCTCTGCGACAGCTTTATCCGCGAGAACTACGGCGTCCTCGTCACGGACGAGCAGATCAGCTGGATCAAAATGCAGCAGCGCGTCTTGGCCATCAAGCCCGTCGTGGTGTTTCCGTCGCCCGCGCAGCCGATCCGGTGCGACAGCACGCATCGCGGCACGAGCTAACAAATCAGTTCGTAGCCGCCTCGCCTACAAGCTGGTGCACTGGCGCGGCTTTGACGCGGTTGTGATTGCGTGCATTCTACTCAACATGGTGACGATGGCCGTGACGTACTATGGGCAAAGCGAGACCATGACGCTGCTTCTAAACGCCCTCAACTACGTGTTCGCGGCCGTCTTTGTATTGGAATGCGGTACGACCGGCACCACATATTCCTCCAACGAACGACTCTCATAGTGCTCAAGATCACGGCTTTTGGCGCGGCCTACTACTTTGCCGACGACTGGAACCGGTTTGACTTTGCCGTTGTCTTTCTGACCGTCGTGAGCCTCGTCGTGCCACTTGTACGTCCTTCTTGCGCCAACAACTGCTCACGACCTTAGGTGTTTGCGACCGAGTCGCTCGGGCCCGTGGCAACGATCATCCGCGTCTTCCGGGTCGGCCGCGCGCTGCGCCTCATCAACCACGCCAAGCTCATCAAGGCCATGTTCGACACGATCCTTGTCTCGCTGCCCGCCGTCGCCAACGTCACGGCGCTGCTCATGCTCATGTTGGTGTTCCAGAATCTCACCACAAGGTGGTCAGGACGAGACGTTCGTAGGTACTACATCTTCGCGGCCGTTGGCGTCCAGCTCTTTGCCAAAGTCGGCTTCCAGAACATGCTCAACCCGCACCAGAATTTCCAGACGTTCTGGATCGCGCTCCAGACGCTCATTGGGTTTTCCACCGGCGAGAATTGGCCCAACTTTCTTTGGGAAGTGTACAACCGAGTGCCGGCCACGAACCCGACGTGCGCCGAGCGCGTCTACAACGCGTCCATGTGCGGCTTCCACACGGTGCACGAGTGCACACCGCTCGACGGCTGCGGGTCGTCGCTCATCCTGCCCTACATGTACCTCTTCTTCTTCGTCATGGGCTACGTGGGCATCAACGTCTTCTCCGGTATCGTCGTCGATGCCATCGGAGATACGTCGAACGCCGCTGTCGTTACCAACGACGTCCTCGAAGCGTTCACGCTCGCTTGGTCCAAGGTACCGTGGTGTCGTCATGATGACCGTCGTTACCTTGGGTTCTAGTTTGACCCGCAAGGCACGGGCATGGTGACGCTGGACGACCTGGCGCACATCCTTCTCCAGCTGCCACCGCCCTTTGGCCTCCGAACCACGCCCCACGCGACGATGAAAGCGGCACAGCGCCGCATGCGTACGTGCTTGTAACGACTGCAACGATTGATGCCTCGCTGGTAGGCGATCTGCACATCGACGTGTACGACAAGCAGTACGTACATTTCAAAGACGTGCCGCGCGCGCTCGTCCTCCAAGCCGTCAGCAGCGTACGTGATGGGATGCGATAACGTTGGACAAGTTGTCTGTGCGCAGGGCGACCGGCAAAAGATGCTCGAGTGCGCGCAGATCATGGAAGACATGGGGTTTGCGCGCGCGTTCGACGACGCGTGGTTTAAAAAGTGCGACAAGGCCAAGACGGACGCGCTCAAAGCGTTTGAAACCGCCAAGGTAAGCGTTGCGGACGAGCGTCGGACACCATGCATGCGGTGCTAGGCGCGTCATCACTTTGCCACCGAATTGATTGCGAGGTGCGGTGCCAACCTCGCTTCAGAGACAGGACTCGACCTACCGTGTAGAACTCTTCTCGACCACGTGCGTGCGCGACGACAGCTCAAGGCGTATGCCACTGAAGCGGCCAACGAAGGTACCACGCAAGAGGGTGCTGCCAAGGAAGCGGGGAAGGAAGACGGAGAAGCCGCCAAGAAAGGAGGTGCTTCGGTCACAGCCGCGTCACCAAGGAGACATGTCCGGTCCGCAACGTCGCCAGCGCAGCGCCACAAGTCGCGAAGTAAAGTAAAGCACAAAGCGTGATCGGCCGGTTCTTGGTTTTTTTCCGGATATAAAAGCCATATACAGTGCCACGTCATATCATCCGGATAGCCCAGGGGGCGCAGCGGTTTCTGGCCACATCCAGAGCCGTCGCCGAGTCGAGGTAGAAGAAAGGACATGCGCGTCTTCATCGGCAACTTGTCGTCGCCGCTCGGGATCGAGGTCGCGCGCTGCCTCCGGTCGTGCGAAGTCGTCGGCGCCGTCGAGAGCCTCAAGCAGGCGCAAGCGACCAAGAAGCGGCTCATCGAGAACCGCGACCCGGAGCTCGGCGAAGGCCTCGAAGGCGCCGACGCGTTTGTCGAGAGTCCCGTCGTGGCCGCGAGCGACAAGCACAACGTCAGCGTCCTTCTTAAGCGCTGCCACGTGGCCGTGTACTCGATTGTGGACGACCCCGATGGCACGCTCGAGGCGCTCAAGGCCTTTGCCGACAGCAGTGACGACGGGCCCAAGCTCTTTGTCGCTGTCTCGAGTGTGCTCACGTGGGCCAAGACGCCGATGCCACCCAAGCAAGACGACTGGAAGGTCCGTCCACAAATATACAAGCGTCGCACACACGATGCACGTAGGGTCACAAGGAAATCGACTTCAAGACGCGCAAGCCAGCGCGCAAGTACGCCGAGTACAAGGCCGTCGAGACTCAAGTGCTCAGCGCCAAGCGAGACGGACTCGCCACCATGGTGGTGGCCGCGGGCATGATTTACGGCGGCGCCGCGTCGAGCCTCCACTACCTCCTTCGGTAGGATCTGGTTCTTGAGATCCGCTAACGACGGGATGCGCAGCGAGGCGTGGCTCAACCCGGACACGGACCTCGTGGTCCCAAGTGTCTCGGGACTCGGTGGCGCCAACAAGCTGCCCATGATCTGCCTCTACGACTTGGCCACGATTGTAGCCGCCGTCGCGACGACCGCGTCGCCACCGCCTGCGCCGTACATGCTCGCGCTCGACAAGGCCGCGCCCACCTTGCGCGAGGTCCTTCATGACCTTATGTCGGCAACCCACCACGTGTGTTTAGGTCTGCGCCGCGATCAGCTCGACGCTGGGGAACGGGAATTTACGCGACTTGAGCCCGCCCGAAGCCGAAGAGTTGCTGCTCACGGAGCGCAGCATGGTGCACCTGCAGCTCAACCAAGTATTTGAGATGGAAGGCAGCGCGCTTGAAGCCCTCGACGTACGCCCGTCGACTTGCATCTACGTCTTTGACTTTTAATGGGCTAGATCGAGTGGAAGTTCGAATCCGGCATCGTCGCCAACATGGACGCCATCGTGCTCGACTACATCAAGGTCATGGACCTCCGGCCGCTGCGCGTCGTGGTGCTCGGGCCACCGCGCGTCGGCAAGTCGACCCTCGCCGCGTCGCTGGCCAAGACGTACTACCTGCCGCACCTCTCGCCGGCCTCGATCGCGCTCGAGCTTCTCAACACGGCCAAGCTCAATGAGCCGCTCCTAACCCTCAAAGAGGAGGTGAAAAAGTACAAGCTCGAGCTCGTCAACTTGCCGTTGGCGCTCGCGACAGACCTCTTGCGCTGGCGCCTGAGCATGCCCGTGTGCCGCAACCAAGGGTATGTCCTGGACGGCGCGCCCATCTCGGTGGAGCAGGCCAAGACACTGTTTCCACCGCCGAAGCCGCCTGCCGGGGACGACGACGAGGGCAAGGACGGCGAGGACGAGGCCAAGACCGGCGACGACGGCGAGAGCCCGGACGATGGCGCGCCAACGACGAGCAAGCCCAAGAAGCCGAGCGTGTATGTTCCCAACCATGTCGTGGTCCTTGGGGCGCCCAAGCAGCTTTTGCAGCGCCGCGCCCAGTCGCTCGCGCAAGACGAAGCCGAGAAAACGGGCAACACCGAGGCCGAGTTTGCCAAGCGCTACGACGCGTTCCAGAAAGAAAAGGGACCCGACGGCGGCCTCCTCACGTTTTTCGAGCAGGAGAACGTGCTTGAGGTGCTCGAGCTCGAGCTCAAGACCGAGGACGCGTTTAGCAACAAAAAGATGCTGCTCGAGCCCGTCGCCAAGTACCTCGAAGCCGGCGGAAAGCCGTTCAACTACCACCCGACAAAGGAAGAAGTGCAACAACAACAACGCGATGTCGACGCCCAGCTCGTACGGCACAGGATTGCGGCAACGACCTGATTCTGTGTCGTAGGCGGCCGAAGCCGAGGCCGAACAAAAGCGCGCGAGCGACCTCCTCGCGCAAGAAATGTCGGACAAGCAGTCGCGCGCACTCTCCGAGGTACACTGCAGCTACAATCTGTGAAGATCCGAGCCGTGTTTGCAGAAAACGCGCCTCGAAACCATCCAGAAGGAAGAAATGGACGTGCTCGAAGCGCGCTCCAAGCCGCTGCGCGCGTACCTCATGGAGACCGTGATCCCGGCCCTCACAGAAGGTATGCTCGAGGTGGTCAAGGTCCAGCCGGAAGACCCGATCGACTACTTGGCCGACTTTCTCTTCAAGAATGGCCAGTCTCTTGAAGCGTAGAGCATGACGAGGATGCATGTACAATTCCGTGTTCTTGATTCATCGCACGTTCGAGGAGCTCTTACCACACGTCGTTGACGAGGATCTCGGCGCCGTCCTGCAGACCGTAGTAGCCCACGTCGCACGCATCGTCGTCGAGCGGAATCGGCATGCCCTGCATATCGTTGGTTGCATCTTGGCGCAGGACGAATGCCTACCTTTTGCTGCTGCGGAACGAGAGCTGATGCTCGGCCGGCTCGAGGCCGTACTTCTTCTGCACGAGCAGCTTGAGCTGGCCGACCTTCATGCTACAACGTTGGAATCGTTGACACCTCTGCATACGCAGCGTGACGCCTCACTTGAGCGGCAGCTTCTTCTCCATTGGATCCATCGTCGTGGCGTTGATACTCATCGGGAGAAACGTCACTGCCACGAGGCTGCGTGCGAGCGCCGCGGGGCCATCGCGGTCACTTTGCGGCTTCTGCGTCGTCTTTTCTCTCAGCACCTGGAACGATACACACAGCCCGCACACGTACTTGGATGTCAGGGTACTTGGCCACGAGCTCGTCAAAGCGCGGGTGGCTCGAGGCGACTTTGAGCTTGTCGTCGTCCGACGGAAACGACGCGAGCTCGTGCAAAATCCGCTTCAGGTACATTTGTTCGGCGTCAATGCGCTCCTACGCGTTCGTATGGGCCACGGCGTATGGCCCACAACAACGCACCTTGGCTCGAATCTCACTGCCGTTGAACGCGACCAAGCGGGCACAACGCGCCACAATGATCTAATGGGATGCATCAATCACGATGCATGTATGGCGGCGACGTACCATGCGGGCTTCGCCAGCGCCAAGCGCCGCAATGAGCGGGTTTTTGGCAAAGCGAAGCAGCTCGAGCGACGGGAGCGCGTTGAGCGCATCCATCGAGGACCACGCGTCAATACTATGTCATAGCATGATGATCGCAACGAACGGAGGAGAAATTACAGGTTGTCGGAGATCGAGATGCTCACGAGGGACGAAAAGCTGCCGGGCGGCGTCGGAAGGATTGCGGGCAGCGCGTTCCCGTTCAAAAGCACATGCTTGAGCGACGGGAGCGCTCCGAGACTCTGCTCAAGCACGCTCCAGTCACTCAGCTGGTTGTGGGACAGGTCCACGAGCTCGAGGTGCGCTGGCCACGGCAGCGTCGCTGCCGCCAGCAGCTACGGCATCGATAAGTGCCGTACATGACGTCGTCCAGTCACAAACATCAGCGTCGGCAAGCTCGTTGGACGCGACGTAGAGTTCGCGCAGTTGGGGGAAATGGGCGCTGCACACGCGCTGGACATCGGTCCACTTGAGGTTGGTCTGGTTCAGGACGAGGCTCGTCACGGACGGAAAGGCGACGCTGCTTGTCGATGGGACGTCGTACGCAAGGCGGTTTCCGCTGAGCACGAGGTGCTCGAGTTTCGGTAGCGCATGAGCCAGCGTTAGCACCTACATATTACATGGCGTTTCGTTCGTCAAGGCAGCGGCTTGACGCACCTCGCGCCAAGACCCAAGGAGGTTGAAGCCCAGGTTGAGCACTTCAATATTGGGAGCCATCGAGCGGAGCACATCTGGCTCGGGCATGCGCGCAATGCGGCATGACTAATCATGCGATCTCTTCGGAAACATTTGTCGTCCTGCCATCGTACCTCGAGGGAGACCTTGCAGATGACACCGAGGTCCTGACGCTCCCTATGTCGCCGTTAAGAGGTTCATGCGTGCATCTTGAGCAGCATACTGAATCTTGTGCACGCCGACAAGCTGAATACTCTTGGAGCTGCCGCTGCTGGTCGCGACCTCGCCTGCGACGCGGACGTCGCTGGCCTCGGCCTGCATGTAGCGCTCGTGGAGCGCGTCGAGGAAGCCGACGCCCCGCATCACCTTCTCGGGCACGACAAAAGACCCGCTCGTCGGCGCAGCTGTCGTAAAGTACCGAACGCCGCCGGCCTCGCCATCATGCTTGCCGCGGCTCGCATCGTCCCACTCGATCCCTAGGGAGGAAGCATCGGCCATGGTCCTTCCATGCGCTCTCCATCTACCTACCGTAGTAGATCGCATCCGACCCCTTGGAGTGGATCGTCCCCGCGTAGCGCAGCGTCCCGCGGAAGCCCTCGGCGTCTTGGACACGGTCCCCGAGCGCGGCCATCTCCACAACAAAAAGGGAATGTTTCCTTCCCATGTGAGAAATGCGTTGTTTATCACGCGAAAAACAAGTGTACATCGTGAACACACGCCAAAATGTGTTTAATACAAAAAAGCATATCTTGTTTTATACACCTAGTCATATGCAACAGCAATTGCAATCTATTTTGCTTCTGTCCTCAGACCTCAGTAGCAAGTCACAAGATGAAGACAAGCGTCTTTTCATTGAAGTTTATACATGCAAATGGTACAATGGAGTAATGATAGCTTACGCGACCGTGCGCGAGGCGCGGACCGAGCGGGCATGCTGCGTCACACGCGCGTGCGACATGGACGGGTGGCCGGCGTTGATGCGCGAGTCAAAGGCCGTCGACGAGTACGTGTTGGCGTTGAGGACGTAGTTGACCGCAAACTTGATCAAGTCGAGCGGGAAGTGCCACACGATCGACCACAACCACGCGATCACGAGGTAGCCACCGCCGCAGCCAAAGACAGCGATACGGTCCGACGGGTATCCGTTGAAGCCGTAGTAGCCGATGACCGAAGCCACGACCTGGGCAAACACGAACGCGATGAGGAGGAGGTTGCACGGCTTCTCGGCAAAGAACCACGTGTTGATACCGGCCGTGCGCGTGACGAAGATGAGCGCCTGGCCCGAGATCGACACCTGCGTGTAGACGAGCGAGCGGAGGATGCCGTCCTTCTTCTGCATGCCGGGCCCGATCGCCTTGTTGCCCTTGGTGTACTTGGTGTTGAAGTTGGAGTAGTCCCACACAAAGTCGCAAAAGCTCACGCCGTTGGTCAACGGAAGGTAGCCGCGGCCAATGAACGCGACACCGACACCATCTTCCGCGTCCTTGACTGCATCGGGATGGGCCGTGTACTGCTTGACAAACTGATCGTACACCTGGAGGGCCGACGGCTCTTCGTCGAGGTCGTGGATGTGGCTGCCCTTGAGGTTCTCGAAGAGCTTGACCCAGTCCGAGTTCTTGGATTCGGCGTCGTACTTCGCCTTGTAGCCGTCGATGAAGGCCTTGCGGTTGGTGCGGAGGAGTCCGAGGTTCGCCTCGTTGAGCGACGGCTTGTACACCGAGCCGTCGAGCTCACCGCAGGCAGCAGGGTCGTTGTTCTTGGTGCACGTCTGGATCTTCTCCGTAAAGTACGCGTTGCACGAGTCCTTGAGGCAGCTCACGCAGAGGTTCTCCGAGTCAATAAAGCCCTCGAACGCCGACGTGTTGTACGCGACACCGACCAAGACGACCGTCGAGATCGTGAGCCAGATGCCAAAGCAGATCGACGAGACGAACACCTGCTTGAGCTTCCACGAGTCGGGCGTGCGCGACGCCGTCACATTGTCCTTGGAGATCGTCAAGATCGTGCCGTCGTTCAAGATGGCCAAGACGACGACGAGGATCGTGGGGAAGTACCAGTTCCAGCACACCGTGAGCAAGCCAAACGTCAAGACGATACGGACCGTCATCGCGATCGAGTACATGGCGTAGTTCTTCATGCGCAAGAAGATCTCGCGCGACATGCGGATGGCCGTGATGATGACCGAGAGACCGGGCGACACGAGCACAATGTCGGCAGCAGCACGGGCGGCGTCCGTCGCATCGTCGACGGCAATACCAATGTTGGCCTGCGCGAGGCGGGGGCGTCGTTGACACCATCGCCCGTCATACCGACAACCTTGTCGAGCGACTGGAGCTGGCGCACAATCTCAAACTTGTGTTCCGGGAAGACCTGGGCAAAGCCGTCCGTCTCGTACACCATCTGCGCGAGGTTCACACCCGGCGGCGGCGCCTGGTTGAAGAACGACGTGTCCAAAATGTTGGTGGGCATTCCGAGCTGGCGGCACGTCTCGATGGCAATGACGCGGTGATCACCCGTGACCATCTTGACGGCGACACCCATCTCGATGGCACGCTTCACCGTGTCGGCGGTATCGTGGCGCGGCGGGTCAAAGAGCGGGAGGATACCCACGAGCTTCCACGACGCTTCCTCCATCGGCACATCGCCCTCAGAGTACGACACACCGAGGCCACGGTAGCCGCGCGAGGCGTACTCGTTGATGCGGCCTTCCACTTCAGCGCGGAGCGACTCGGCGTTGTCATCCATGTCCAAGCAGATCTGCGGCGCACCCTTGCAAGCACGGAAGATCTTGCCCGTCGCGTTGTCCTTGACCTTGGCAATCGTGCGCTTCGTCGTCGGGTCAAAAGGCGTGTAGTGGAGGAGCGTGTACTTCTGCCACATCGTGTCGTTACCAGGGTACGTGTTGTGGCAGACGACGTCGATGGCCTCGTTGTTCTCGATACGGGCCGAGAGAGCACCGTAGAGGAGGATGTCGTCCGTCGAGTAGCCGTTGTACGGGATCAAGTTGTCGAGGTCCACCGAGAGCTTGTTGAGCGTGAGCGTGCCCGTCTTGTCCGAGCAGAGCACTTCCATCGACGCCATCTCTTCGATCGAGGTAAGGCGCGTGACGATGGCGTTCTCCTTGGCGAGGGCCGACGAACCAATGGCGAGCGTGACCGACAAGACCGTGGGCATGGCCACCGGGATACCACCGACGATCAAGACGAGGATGTTGGCGACACCGAGGCAACCGTCCGTAATGATCAAGCACGGGTTCTCGTCCTTGCGGGCACCCATCTGCACGACGAGCTCGATGATGCACCAGACGATGATCGAGACCATGCAAAAGTTGCCGACCGTCGTGAGCACTTCCTGGAGACGGCCCTGCGACTCGACACCGGCAATCTGCTCAGCCGCGCGCCCGAGGAACGTGTGGATACCCGTGCTTGTGACAACAGCTTCGATTTCACCCTGCTTGCAGACCGAGCCCGAATAACCTTCATCGCCTTCGCACTTGGTGACCGGGAGCGACTCGCCCGTAAGCGACGACTGATCGATCTTGACAGAGTCACCTTCAAGGAACTTGACATCGGCCGGGAGCACATCACCGAGACGAATGCGGATGACATCGCCGGGCACGAGCTGGTCGGCGGGGAGGTTGATCATGGCACCGTCGCGGAAGACCTTGCATTCGGGCGCGAGCTGGCCCATGAGCGCAGCGACAGCGTCGCCGGCCTGCATCTCCTCAAAGTAGCCGATGCAAGCGTTCAAGAGCAGAAGCGCGAGAATCAGGCCAAAATCCGGGTAGTCGAGGAGGACAATGGAGAGGACGGCGGCGACCTCCATGGCCCACGAGAGCGGGTTCCACATGAAGCCGAGGAAGACCATGAGGCGGTTGACCTCGTTTTTGGGCAACGCGTTGGGGCCATGCTCGATGAGGCGCTTCTCGGCCTCGGCGGACGAGAGACCCTCGCGGGTCGCCTTGAGCTTGTCGAGGGCAGCGTTGAGCGGGATGGCACCCCACTCGATCTGACCCGCCTCGTTGACGTAGTTCTTGGCGTCGTTGGGCGTCGCCATCGGTTGATACCCAGCCATCTTGATGGTACGATTTGCTTTTTGATCAACGGGAACGAACGGCGCGGGGCGGTTGTTGGACGTTGGCCAGCAAAATGTAAAATGACCGACGAAGCGGCCGACCAAAGCCTTGGCCGTGACCAACGCAGCGACCATCTGTGTCGAGGATCCAGCCCATGTGTAGCACCATCGTCACGCACTTACTGGTGGCCAGCATCCGCGGTGTCGCACCGCGGCAGTTACATGGCCGCGATCGCCAGGCAGACTTTGTTTTGATTGGCTCAAAGGACGGCCTTTTCGATGCCACCGCACATGATTGGCTGCTTGTCGGATTTTTCGCAGGCCATCGTCTCGTACTGTAGATGCTGTGGACTCCAGGTGGCACATACTCAAAGGCAAAGAGCACATGTCGCCGCGCCCCGCCTGCCACTGCACGTGGCGCCACGAGAGCGTCCGATGGCCAGCGATTGGTGCAAACGGGCGAGGATACCCAATTTCGGCCAATCAGTGGCGCGGCAGAAACGCCGTGCTGTCCCACATTGAACCAAACCCGTGGCGAGAATTGTCACGAGAGCGCCGCTTGAACGGACTGGGCTCCTCCGTCGTCTTGGGACAGCCTACGAATCGAACCCTCGCCTCCTGGAGCTCTTGGCTGCCTTTTGCCTCCCTGTCGTCAGCGCCACAGTGTAGCACTCGAATACGTTCGCATCGAGACGCTCACCGATTTCTGAGGAGCATCCGAGCGACATACTAGTGGCCGGCGATGCAACCGCGACAAGGCGACTCCTACCGTGCAAACCTGGTCCTCCTACCGGTACATACGCATTCGCAGTGGTCATTTGTGCTTAGCTACTCGCAGTGAAGTCGTGAAGCACCGGTAGCATGGCGCGACGACCGGTTGTTGCTTTTGGATCTCAGCGCCCATCCTCCTCGAGTTCAGATCTCGGGTTCGGTGCAGCGGTTTGTTCAAGCGCCACGACCTGATCGTCAGCACTGGCGCGACTGGGTTCGCGACACTGGCAACGTGGATGCCACCACTAGCGACAGTGTAGAAGGGGCATTTCTTGAGGATGTGTTTTGATTCAGGATCCCATCGCTGCACGAGTATCTTCCTGTCGACTCACGTCGGCGCGTATGCAAGGCGTCGACGATTCCGAACCCGAAGCGTAAGCCAACAGCTTGCGGGTGCAGCTTGAAGCGCCGCCCACATGCAGAGGCTGGTCACCCGTTTGGTCGCATGCCGCAATGCCAGCCTGGGGACAAGAACGATGGCACTCACACGTGTCCGTGAATTTTGTGGCTGATATCGGATACCACGAATCGAATGGCGGCCGCCGATTGTTGAAGCTAGCGCGATCTTCCGATACAGTACACTTGCCGGCATGGTGGTCAGTGTACTGCGCTGTGTATATACCTCCTCGCGTCTGACCATCGAACCGTCGTACTTAGTACTTACTACCTGCCAACGCCGACCGCGTTGCGATATGGCTATCAGTATCAGGACGGACGCGAAGACGGTCCTCTTTGAAGACGACGTTGTAGGATGCGGCGGTCGGACGATGTGGCTGCATTACACACCGCCACCACCACGACAAATGGACTCGAGAGCATGGCCTTTCTGGTCGTGCTTGAACGCGTGGCATGCATGCGATGCGGGAGCAGCTCGGAGCCCAAGGCGTAGTACGAGTGCAGAGGTGCGAGGATGCTGGCGGCGGCGGCGACTGGCGCGAGAACGTTGTCGTTCGCTCGTCGTCCATGGCTACTTGAGCGTATTGAGTGTGCCCGGTACTAGGAAGGCTCTATCGATCACGTCTAGGGTGCCAGTAGCATCATTCTAGGCGGCGGCATACCCGTACAAAACGGTTCGAGACGATGGACACGCGAGCGACGCTTCGGGCAAAGTACTCCAGTACCTGAGTCGGATACGGGTCCTTCAATGGTGCGCCTCCGCGAGCCAGAGAGGACACGACCCGCATATCGTGTCGTTGAATAACGACCTGCAACAGCGTGGGAGTGCTCCGTTGTCCTTGCCGTCAAGTGGACCTACATCTTTTGCCCGAGGCGAGAGTGGGGCGCTCGCATCAATTTCACTATTGGTGAGTCGTCACACAACGATGCCATGTTCGCGTAGCAATCGACGCCAAGCAGCGAGAAGGAGGCCGTCGCATGCGACTCGGACGTCGGCAGTCGCAACACGTTTAATCCGCTGCTCGATCCATTGGCACAGCTATAGATTGCCACCACTCTACAGACTCCGCCCCTCCAAAGACCCACTGCAAGCGTCGAGGGGCGAGACGGATCGAAGCATCGGCAATGCGCTGGTTCCAATCGAAATTTGAAGGCTGGCAGTATATGGACAAGCCTACTCGTACTGAAGAAGCATGCGTTGCATTCTCAGCTCCACGCACATGCGCATATGCGGCTATCATAAAGCGACTCGATCCTATCATTGGTCTCGTGCCGCTTCGGTCTACAGGATTCAAGAAGCTATCAATCAGTATTGCAGGAGCGTGGCCACGCAACTTCTACTATTTACCGTACTAGTAGTATCCTTGACGCTTCGTGTCGATGACTCAAAACTGCTAGTAAGTTAGTTAGGGATTCTTTGACCATGTACACAATCGAAGTGAGGCTGCGATCTCCATCTTGGCTTGATCTTTATGATTTGAACGAGCTGTCGCCTTGGCCGCGCCGAAACGAGGCGGGCCGTGTACCGGTTACTGACCTCCGTTTCCGGACGCCTGTGGAGTCAGATTGGAATAATATTTGTCCATCGTGATATCCATACAAGCCAATAGATAATAATATTCTTTCAATATGATTGGAATGGACCAATCCCAGGCCTTCCTGGCAGTCAGAGCTGGATTCGCCGCCTTCCCCACAGGCGCCTCATGGCCTCGAGCCGAGGTCCTGCTTCGGCGACGTGCTTGGAGCGCTCTACCAGAGGTCGTCTGCCACGCGCGCCACACAGGTCATGGCCATCTGTGACGTACCTACATCGAGCCGAGCGACGAATGCAAGGTGGCAGCCAAGCATCGCGCATGCAACAAGGTGGCCTGCGATCAAGGTGGCATGGAAGTTGGAGGCCAACCGCAACGCTGCCTGCTGTAGCGTCGCCTTCTGTCATCAACGTCCTGCTGCACACCAACGAGCGACGCGCGATGCAACGCGCAAGCGGCTGTACGGTGTTGGCGGCGCGGAGGACGGCTGCTTGAGGCGCAGGTCCTCGCACACTGCGCATAGCATTGAACATGGTGCCCCGGCGAAAACGAGTCGAGTGCACCCTTCGTCACGCCCCACCACCCCAACGAGACACGCAACAAAATGGAACCGCAGGTCTTGGCTCATGCGCGTTGATCGACTTCTTATTGATACTGATGGGCTACGCTTCGTCGACGAGGGACGTGAGGGTCGTCACAAACGATGCCAGCCACGCTTCCGCGTCGGCCATCGAGAGCCACGCGGTGCGGCACGTGAGCGTCACGTGCAGGTCCTTGCACGTGCTAAAGGCAAAGAAGGGCACCATCGCGCCATAGTAGAAGCGCGACGCGCGCACGCCAAGCCCATGCGGGTACGACGCGGCAAAGTACGGGTGGGCGCCGAGGTTGGACGTCATAAAGCTCGTGGTCATGATGTCTCCGGTCGCAATCTCGGCGGCGGGAACGTGCCGAATCGACTCGAAGTGCCGAAGAAAGAACGACCGGCCGACCGCACGTTTGATCGTACGCGGCGACAGAATCCACTTGGCGTCGTGGGCCATGGCCCAAAGCGTCGTCGGGGACAAGAGCGCGTCATCTTTGTAGTTGGCAGCATGCAGCGTCGCCAGGTCCGAGTCGGCCAAGTAGCCGCCGAGGCCTGCGGTCGGCACGTGGTGCCAGCGCAGGTTGATCATGGTCTGCGCCGTGACACTCGGCGGCTCAAAGCGCTCCATCGCGGTCGCGCTGAGGACAGCGTTGAAGAGCGACGAGAGGGTCAAGCCACGGTCCCGACACGCCGTCCGGAGACGGGCCACCACCGAAGCGGAGACCGTCGCCGAGTAGGCAAACTGCGGGTACGACTCGGGTCCACTCAAGAGCGCGTTGGCGATCGTCTCGTTCGGGTCGGTCTTGGGCTTCCATTGATGCCCCAACAACTTTTGCTTCAAAACGAGCAGCGAGTACGCCGCCATGCCCGTCACTTCGTGCCACCACGTGACGTCCGATGGCAAGTCGTACGGCTGCGGCCGCGGCACCCACGGCGTCCGAGCCGGGACTGTCGACGAGACGTCGTCGGAGACGCCGGCGAGAAGCAGTGCGAGCGTCGTGAAGAGCGAGTGCCCGTCCGTAAAGGCATGGCCCACGACAAGGTACACCCGCACAAGCGCCGACGACGGGTGCGTGACCACGACGTGCACCGGCACCTCGCCCACGAGGTCAAAGTTGATCGTGAGCAAGTTGGCGAGCAGGTCGTCCGTCTCGTCGCGCAGCTCGACAGTGGCCGCGCGCAGCTGGTCGTCGGTGGCACCGATCGTCGCTGTCTTGTCTGGCACGAGC